CAAAGCCTGAAAAAAAACACCGAAGTTGGGTCATCAGGCATTAAAAAGTTTCGCAATATTTCCGAAGAGTTCCACGCAAGAAAAGCATATACTGTAGTTATTTTAATTCTGAGAATGAATTCCTTAAAAAAAAATCTGCCCGGGAACTCGAAATTTAATTTTCAGATCACTTTAAAATTTTGAGATGTTTCTGCCAATGGAAATATTACCTGCCAGGTTCAAATATTGTTCGCATATTTCGTTACTTTACGTGACACAGGTTTATTGTCATAAAGAACATTCGGGCTCGGTTACAATATTTTCGTGAAGTCTTTTAAGAAAAATCGAGGAAAAAAATTGGACCAGGCTTTCAAACGGACCCAGCAGAAGAAAAAAGCGTCCGTCAGTTCCAGAACTGTGTGCTTGTCATTCTTCGTCAGAAAAAAAGTCACAGCGTGAAATGTGATGATGGGTTTTGTTAATTTGGGTCTCACAGAGGTATAATTTAATTACCTCAAAGGTTTTGACGTATCCCCCCCCCCCCCCCACATTATGTTTGTGTGGTTGGGTCAGGAATACTGTACTTAGTTGTCTACGTCGGTCTTATTCACTATCCATTTCGTTCTTTCATTTTTCATTAGTGTTACATCAACTATTTTCAATTTTTTGTTCCTATAGATATAGATGAAGAAACGAAACAAAATTTCAAGAAGACCATTAGTAAATCTCAAGTAGATTTTGAAAAACATTTTGACTGAGGAACAGCACTCGTTATTGCAATGCACGCAAAAATATTTCACAGGACCTTCGAAATGAAATTTCGCATCTTGCTTCCGACGAAAGTTTACGTTCAGATAACAATGCTTCGTTGATAGCAATGCTCGATCAACGAATATTTTTTAAACTGCTTAAAAATTACAGATAAATCTTACTAGTTGAAATTGAGTTTCAGTTTAATCTGTAAACTATTTCTTTCAAATATGTACTTTACTAGAATTCTTGGCGAAGCTTTTCAGTGCTTACGATGAAAAATCTGCTGAGAAATCTAAAGATACATTAATAGTTTTTTTACGTGCATGAAAAGGGACTTGCTCTTGTTTTCTAGCATCAATCTTCCTGGATTTTTTTCTGCAGTTACCCGACCTCTATGAGATAATTATAAATTTTTAGAAACCGATCAAACAGAAGATTGTAACCAACTAAAAACCGCTTGTTGAAACAAAATTTTTATCAAAATTTAATAAAGAAAGTGCGAATTATGAAAAAATGTCTTTCTTCTCTTTTCTTCAAAAAATGCATTCGAATATACGGACCATCAGACATTTGGTTTCTCAGATCAGCTTTAAATTTTCAATATTTGACAGGAATATGGCAGCAGTGGCTTTGATGACGGAGTATATTCTCAAAATTGAATGAAAAAAAATCGAAGCAGCTTAGAAAACCGAAAGTAATTGTTTGGGTTACATATTATTGTGGCGCTAAAAAATAAAAAGAGGATCTTTGCTATGGATCCCTCACAGCAGCGTCGTATAACTGGAAGTCGGAAATAGAATTAACCGACACACAATACAACAAAATCCTTCATTGTGTCGTCGCGGATCCACTTTTCTGTCGCCGCCGTGCTGCACGCTGAAGATAATCGCATGGCTCTGCTTTTTTCCCTCTTCTCTTTTCAAATAACACTGCTATTCATGCTTTCCTCCCAAGTTTTTATTTTATTTTTTTTCTATGCTTTTTTTTTGTGCACACGTTGTGGTTTATGCTGAAATGCAACACGACGACAGGAAAGCGCATTATCGTGATTATTATTTCGTCGCCTGCTGCTGGATTCTGCCTGCCATAAAGCAAGTGTGGGTGGAAGCGATGAGGTTATCCGGCGTCAGGAATTTGCGGGAGAAACCCAGTTTTTTGCGTGATTGGCGCCGCGAGTCACGCCCTGCTGCTGCTGAATATTCTTGTTTACCGGACAACTCGGGTAGCGACAACTGGAATAGCGACAAGTTGCACACCTGACAACTCGCACCCTGCGAAAACTGGGATATAGTAAAAACTTGCATACATTTATTTTTATTTTTTGAAAATTTTTTTCTCGTTCATTCTTTGTAGATTGTTCATTGTATGAAGGGAGTTTGAATGTATGCTAATTCCTGAGGGCAGTCAGAGGGAGCCCTTCTGTTTTGATGATGTAACATACCACCTATTCAGAGGATGTAAAATACCTACATCACTTCACCAGTTATCCTCAGGAATGTTCATCATTTGACTAACTTAGCTATAGAGTATTTTATCAGGTGGTATTTAATGTCTTCCAAATGGCATTCAGAGGAGGTGTGAACTTTTGGATTTCTGAAATTAAAATGGATAAGGATTTTGAAAGTGAATACCGTGACACCACTTTCATGTTGGTTGAAAAAGTGAATTGAAACACAAGGGCTCTCTGACTTTCCTTCCAAGTCTAAGGAATTAGCATACATTAAAACTGGAGTAGCAACAAGTCACACACCAACAACTTCCCCCCGCAACAACTGAGATAGCAACAAGTCTGACACCTATTTTTCAACCCTTTTTTTGCAAATAATTTTGCATTCATGCTTTGCAGATTGTTCCTTGTCTGGAGGGAGTTTGAATGTATGCTAATTCCTGAGGACAATCAGGGAGCCCTTCTGTTTCAATGATATAAAATGCCACCTATTCAGAGGATGTAAAATACCTACATCACTTCACCATTTATCATCAAGAATGTTCATCATTTGCCTAACTTGGCTACAGTATATTTTCAGGTGGTATTTAATATCCTTCAAATGGCATTCAGAGGAGTTGTGAGTCCTTGGATTTATAGAATGAAAATGGATAAGGATTTTGAAAGTGAATACCATGACACCACTTCCATGTTGGTTGAAACAGTGAATTGAAACAGAAGGGCTCTCTGACTTTCCTTTCAAGTCTAAGTAATTAGCATAAATTCAAACTCCCTCCATAGACGAGGAACAATCTGCAAAGAATGAATGGTAAAATTAGGTGCAAAAAAAGTATTAGAAAAAGTGTGCGAGTTGTCCCTGTCCCAGTTATTGTCACAGGGTGCGACTTGTTGCTATTTCAGTTGTCTCTATCTGAGTTGTTGGGGAACCATATTTTTTCTCCTGTTTTTCTTTCTTTTTCAGTTGCGTCGGTTTGCGCATCAGTGCATCGCTAATTTTATCCTGTGCGTACTGACTGGTTCTGTTTCTCTCTTCTTTTTTTTGGCAAATGACATGAGGCGGGCAATGGGATTATTCTTATGCCGAACCAGGAGGAATGGAGGTTACGGTGCCTCATCAGGAGTCTGTGTTCGATTTTTTTATAACAAGATCCCAACTTTTATTTTCTTGGCAGAAAATTTTGGAAGAGAATCAGCTATATTCCGATAATGATAGGAGTGGGTTCAATGGTGTTTCCCGGAAAACATGATTCAAATGTAAAATTAGCCCTCTTGGGTCAAGTTTCAGGAACCTCTCCTAGCCGTAAATATGTGATTTTGCAATACAATTAGCTATAGTCCGATAATTATAGACGTGAGGTTATAGAATTTGAGTATGTATTCCCGAAAAACATGATTCGATCGTAAAATTAGCCCCTTAGGCCGAGTTTCAGAACCTCTCCTAGTAATGAATACGCGATAACCAAATTGTATACCCATATACGAACGACTGATTACTTTTAGGAAGTTCAATTCAGTATTTCGATCTTCGTTTTGAACTGATTGGAGTTGATCTTATTCGCTGTGATAGATCTGTTCGATTTGAGGTTAATAAGTATGATACAGTAATCGAATATTCAAGTTCTTCGGTCATCTCCTGAGCTTGTACGTCCGAAGCGAAGCTTTTATAGCGAATAATGCACTCATAAAAGATTATATTTTTCAAGGGAAGCCTAAAAAGGCATCTCAAATTAAATTTATTTCTAGTGACTTAAAAGAATCCACAGAAAATCGGAAATCGAAATTCAATTTTGGAACTGCCACGTCACTTAACCATCATCGAAGTCCTCGTTTCCAAATCGAGAAAACAAAATTGTTTGTCTCGAAAAAAAAAACGATCAGAAATTCCTGTTCACGGCCCTAAAGTCAGTCAGGACGAGTTACCTTTCAAATTTAGTTGTATTGCTTGAAAATTGTCATTGGAAAAAGGTGATCTGAAATTTTAAAACAAAGAAAGAATAATACAGTGAGACCCAGAGATGCGGACGTAATTGTGCATCAAAGTAGAGTCTCATTTTCTCTTAGACTTACATTATATAATTTTTAATTTGTGTTTTAAATACAAAATACTCACCATAATTCCATGAAAACAAAAATTGTCTCCCAATTCAAACTGATTCAATCAATATAGTTCAACACAATATATGGGCATTTGGGGAATTGAATACTGATACCTCTGTACAGTGCATAAAAATGATGGCATTCTCTGTAAAAATGACAATCAAGTGAAAAAGAGAGCAGGGAGAGAAGGAAGTCCCTCCATGCAGGAGGTAATGTTTTTAAATCAGCTAAATGGATGATAAATTGGGTAGAGAAATGCCCAAGAACTTTTCTTACATCAATTTAGGATTGGAAATATCTGTTTTTTGTAATTTGGCCTGAAACTTATTATTTGCAATTTCATCCCAAAATGTCCCTATGTGGAGTGTCCTCATGTTGGGCCTTTTTTATCATTTTTTTATGGGAAAATAAGTGTCCCTATGTGAAATTGTTTGCAGGTCGAGGTGTCCGCATGTGGGGGTCTCACTGTGAACCTGTTTATGAGAATTTAACGAAACTATACTCCTACGCTCTCATTAATGCTGAAGGCGTTCCATTTTGGACGAGCAGTTGATGAAGATGTGCCAGAACCAGAAATATAAAAAAGAACGAGTAAAAGTGAAATACGAGGGGATAAAAAGAAGAGGGAAAAGAATGAAAGAGGTGTGACAGACAGGGCATATAGGAGAAAGCAATTCAATTTTCCGGTGAAGCCCGGAAATGAAATCATGCCGTCGTTCGTCGGTCAAAACCTGACTCGGGAACACGAAATAGCCATCACCGACACCGACGTCGACGGTGACACCGACGTCGACGTCGTGTCCCTCTTTCGGACCTGCGTTTCAGTCCTACTATCCCTCGGGATTCCATTTTTCACATCATCTGCTATATAGCTTCAGAATTATTTGTGTCAACCAACCTGATGGTCATATATGGACTCATCGTCTCCCCTTTTATTTTTTCCCAACTTCCACAATTTAAAAATCTTCCATTTTACAAAACAACGGCTATAAAATCATGTTTCACGTGACTGTTACAATATTTCACGAATTTCATGCGCTTTATTTACATTTTATTTCATTAAAAGATGACGCTGCTTATTTGATTAAAAAATCTCTTATTCAAGAATTAGTCCCAAAAAAATGTTGCCCACGACCACGATAGACATCATCAGAAATACTGCACATAAAAAAACCTGAGTATAAGAATTCTTGTCAATTCAAAAACCTGTACATCCAATGCCAACAGTTATTTTCATTCGCCGTCAATTTCTTCAGACGCTTTCTAGAAGAAGAAAAAAAAAGACTTATATATTCCTAATTTTGAGTGATACTGCATTTGAAACTGTGTAATACTGTTTATATGAATTCAGAATGACCGTTTAATTTTTCAAAAATCCTGGAACTGATTAGTTTCGATCATTTTTTGCATTACACTTTTTTCAAATTGCGAAAAGGTTTGAATATTACACTTAAAACCACCCGGTCAAAAAAATGGTCAAGTCAGAGGTTATTTTTGAAACGATTTCGGAGAAAGTTTTTCTTATATAATTATGTGAAATGTATTTATTCCAAGATTCCAGCTCTTAATTGCTGTATATTTCAAGAAGAGGCAATAATTTTCATTTTCGCTTGCGTCAAACACGCAAAAAACGCAGAATATCAGCTGGCTGTAAGTATCAGTACACTAAAGAATAAATACTGCAAATATTGCACCTAGCTGTTCCCTGTTGAGACAAATGTTCCAAAGCAATTGTTGCAACTTCTAGTTGAACCCGTGAAAATCTCTCTCTCCCTCTCTTTCTCTCTATCTCTCGACTCCGCTGCTGAGGTATGCAAATTGAGCTTTCGGAAATCTCGTTACACCTGTCACCAGACTTCAAAAGCAACCGCCCACATGTGCTATAGCGTATTTGTATGTATACCAAAGTTTCAAACGTGACGCGCGGGATTCTCCTGGGGAAAGCAGGGACGAATTTTCTGCTCAATTTCGCCATTGAGTGGCGCCAGGGAGAAGGTTGCCAATTAGGTCTGCCAAGTTTCTGCATTAAGCTGAGTTCACAGCGACGCGGCCCTTGTTATGTTCAAGTTTGAAGTCATCTGGCGTTATATATCCATATATAGTGCTGAAAACACTGTATGTATATTAAGATTACATCACACTATATATGGCAGCGTACTTGAATAGGTTCATTGAAGGTTTTCCGACAATAAGTCTTCAAAAACATTATCGCCTGTTTTATTGCCACCTGGGTATTTTGAAAAAATATCAGAGAAAAATAGGAACTACGTAAGTCCAATTGTTCTGGACAACATCTGCTCTAGCGATTTTAAGGTCAACCAGAACTAATATTTTTTGCCGAAATCAAATAGACTAAACAAAAAAGTATCCTCAGAACATTTTACAGTATTTACACAAATTCAAGGCCTCAATATTATTTTTTGAAAATAGATCTATACTTGAAATACAGATTTCAGATTCTTCACTGTATCTTATACATGGTACATTTTTTTCTGCGATAATTTTGTTTACCGTATTTCCCCCAACGTATAATTCATGGAAAGAATAAAACTGGGCATGCAAATTTCAGTCTCCGTATGAAAAAAAAGCAATGCTGTATAGTGAAAAAGCAGTTGTAACTTGGGTTAAAGCCAGCAAAATGTTGGAAGCTGTGCGAGGAATTACGAGCAATTGTTCAATATGTACGGTTTTACAAGAAGAAATATTTCAAGCCGTACACCTTGTTTTGAAATTAATTATAGGATCAGCAAAAAAGATTCAGAATTTTATGACAGTATTTGAGGTTACTTGAAAGTGTGGTCAGAGAAGTGCTGAAAAGTAGAATGAATAAAATGTGACACGGCAATTGGCCGGTGCGCGAACCGACCAGGGATTCTCTCCCCAAAAAAGCACAAGCCTTTGTTAGACAAATCAGCAAGCAAGAACACAAAAGTACAGAAATATTCACAACAGTTTTTGGACCGCAAATATGCACAACAGGTTTTTGCAGGTTTTAGTTTTTTGGCAAAGTACAAGATTCACAACGCAACGAAACGCTTCGACGGCAAAATTTGGACTGGTTGTTTCACAGGGAGTCGAGGGTCTTATATAATTTTGTCAATATGTTATTGAATCTGAGTATCTTCCCCAGTTGCTGGGTTTCCTCAAAAATACCAGGTGTTGGTGTTTTTACAACATCTGGCTATTGGTAGGCAATTTGGAAAAATATATTTTGCTCCCCGGGAACCGGGTGTTTTTAACTTGTAAATCTTTACAAGGCTGCGCAGTTTCCAAAGACAATTATTTTACAAGGGTGCGCAGATTTCGACGACAAGTATAAATTACTCTAGAGCTGTCTTTTCAAAAAAACATCTTGAAGTCAAGCGTGTAGCGTTCCTCAAACGGCAAATAGTTCTCGGGAGCCGAAAGAAAAAATAAGAAAGAAGAAACCAGAGGGTAGCAGCCAGCAGCTGGCAAAGTTTGGACCCTCTTTAACCCCTAGGAGACAAATGGGGGTCATATGACCTCCTTGCTAAATAATAGGAAAAAGAAAAGAAAAAGAGGTAGAAAGAAGAAACCAGAGGGTAGCGGCCAGCAGCTGGCAAAGTTTGGACCCTCTTTAACCCCTAGGAGACAAATGGGGGTCATATGACCTCCTTGCTAAATAATAGGAAAAAGAAAAGAAAAAGAGGGGTTGATTGCTGGAGAAGGGAATTGTTTTTCGAAGGTTTACAATTTGTTTTGACTTGCCGCCCCGTCAGGGGGATTATTTTGCAGTATTTTGAGACGCGTCCCGAGACGCGCCAATTGAGTTTCGAGAAACTCGTTTCCCTGTTACCCTTTTCAGGGATTTTCATGACTGTTGTCAAAGTCGGCGGGAAAATTCCGCACAAGACTATGGGACACATACTGAGCAATGAAGAAAGAATTTTAGAGTTGAAGGATTAATTGAGGAAAAGTGGAATTTGAAAAAAAGCCAATCCAAAACGATCATGAGAAACACTCATTTTGAAATTGTGCTTGAACTGCTTAGGTTGAGCGCAGCATCTGGGAATTTGATAGATTGATTGATGTACAATTTGTATTTGCTGCATGTTAGAGTTCACAAGGTTAACAATATTTTTCCCATGCTTCTACACATTCCAGCCTATGAAAAATATTACACTTAATTTCAGAAAAAAAATCACAGTACACAAGGAAGTATGGAAATCATTATTATTTCTTGTTGATAAGGACAAACATGACAGCAAATTGCTCTTACTGAGACCAAATCAAAGCATAAAGTGTTCATTCTGTACCCCAGACATTTTTTAAGTGATCAAACAATTGAGAAAGAGTATTCAAAGATAAATCACGTAGAGCTGACACGTTATCCTGATCCTCTTCAAGATTTGGGAGAGTACCTCTTTTTTATTAAATTGTGAGAACCCTTAGAATTTGATACTGTATTTTGGTGTGGAATGTTGGGCATGAGAAAAGAAGGTGTTCTGGCAATGCAGTAACTATTATCCTGCACCGTATTCACTTCAGTGCCACGCGCCCTCCAGTAAGTAAACGAACCAAGGTTTTTCAGCAAGTCGGGAATTTTTATAAAATCCAAACCCCGTTTAAGACGCGCACCTCTTTTTCAGTGACCCAAAAACTTGTATACAGTAGTACATCGAAGATGAGAAAACCCAAATTTTAATTCGAACATGAATTCGACAAATTTTCTTCTTTTTTTTTCGAAGTAAAATACGTTTTACTGTCAAACTTGGTCCCCTTTTTTTCCTCTGAAATTTTAGATGAAAAAAAAAGGTTTGCGTGGCATTGATCAAATAAGGGTATTTTTCCAGCAGACACAATTTCCGAAAAAGGAGCTCACTCTCAGGCGAGTCCTCCCCCAGCGTGGCATTAGGCCCGGTGTCAGACCAGTCCCCACGTAGTCTCAGCCGCCGAAACGTGCATTCACCCAGGTCTTCATCCCGCCGGTTACTGTCGTCATCGTCGACGTCACCACCCCCACCACCCCCGTCATCGTCGTCATTGTTGTGCTCGTCCTCGTCGTCATAATCCCGGCTCACCCGGTCTCGCACCGACAACAAATACACATTGTCCGACCAGAAGCTCGCCAACAACTCGTTCCCGTTGGCCGAGTAGCACAGCGACGTGACGCGACTCTCTCGGCGCCTCGTGGCGGCACGTCCGCCGCGGGCCGTGAACTTGGCAACGACGCCTTCGGCGGCCGACAGCGGGGAGAGGCGTCGGCGATCGTAGATGCGCACTGCAGAGTCGCCGGTGCCGACGGCGAGGTAATCGCGGGTCGTGGGCTCCAGGGCGATCGTCGACGCCGGACGACTGCACCGCAACAACACCGACTTGTTGCACTCGGCGTCCCCGCGGTCGTGGCACGAGTTGTTCACTCGCACGTCGAAGAAACGCACCGTTTTGTCCTCGCTGAGAATTTGAAAAAAAATAAATAAAGCAACGAGGTCAAGAGTTCCGCAGTCTTTCGGGAAAAGGTCTGGTTCGCAACACAACTGTTGAGGTGACTCGGAGGAACCCATGTTTTAACGACACCCAATCAGGGATAATAGTTCAGTGGACCCTTGGTTAACAAACTTAATTGGGTTCCAGACAAGAGTTTGTGAACCAAATTTGCTTTTCCCATTGACTTCAATGGAGATCCAATTAATCCGTTTTTGGTTCCAGAAAACGTTTGTTAACCAAATTTGATTTTCCTGTTGACTTTAATGGAGATCCAATTAAACTGTTCCTGGCACCCAAAATACGAATGTAAATTTAATGAAAAAATAATTCAGGACAATATTCAATTGAAATGAGTTACTCTGGCATCCTGTGGATGTTCACAATGTTTTCTAGGGTTGGATGGAAGCATGACTTATGAAAGAAAGAAAAAACCCTAAAAAAAGCTTCATATCCGGAAAAAAAAACATTTGCATACGAGTAGGAAAACTGTCACCAGAAAAATAAATGTGAACGTTGAAATGCTGTAATTATATGCGGAGCTAGACAAATCTGGAAGTGCCTTTGCCCACAGCTTCTTGCAGCAGGATATCTTTCGTTCAATTTATTCTGCTCGAACCACGGAACATCGTCAGCACACCCTCACTCACTCGCTTGATGTAAAACAAACTGCAATCAGATTGCACACAATAGCTGAGTGTCACAACAAAATTTGGAATCGTTTGCCTGGGAACAAGTTTGGTCCCCAAACTTTGGTTTTTATCCAAGAAATTTTTCTTCGAGGAAATAAGTTTGTCAAGCAAGAAGTTTTGTAACCCAAGGGGTTAGTTAATTGAGGGAAAATTGTACTGTACTGTATTGCAATCTAAATGAGGTAATTTTCTGCCAACTGGTTTGTGGAATTACCTCCGCTTTGACATCGTTTTGAGAAAACAGGGAAAACCGCGATGAAAATACAAAATTGTAGATGTCGCTCGCGCATGTTTCTTTTTCATAAATCTGCCGAAAGCGAGACATTCCTCGCCAGTTTTCCTGGCATACCCGGCAAGATGACTTGATTTCATCCTGACGAATCAGACTTAAGAAAAATAAGAAAAAAAGGCAGTGAATCTTACGAGCAGGAGAAGAAGCAGTTCGAGTCCAACGGAAGCACTTCGTACGCAGTTTCTGAGTGACACAGGAAGTGGCTCAATTCTGGACGACAAATGACGCCGATGTCAGAGAGACAAATCACCCCGCTTCCGGCACAAGAAACTATCTTCATGTTTCCGGTGTCCGGCATGAACCTGGCACAAAATATGTTGGACGAGCAGGGAACAGCGATCACTTCACGAACCTGTCAAAAACAGAGAACAAAATGAAATAAATTCAACAGCATTACAGTCAAACAATGGTTTATGTCAGATGTCCATTCCGATTGTCACTTCAGCGGAGCAGTTAAAAATGGGAATCTCGGGGCAATAATTCATTATAGTTCACAAGCATTGTTTCATAGAAAAAGAAGATCAACCAGATTGGCTTGTCAACTGGGAAATTTTTGCAGTAGGGAAAAGTTCATCAACCCGAGGTCCACTGCATATACAAGTACATTAAATTTCCAGTGTTGCCATCCACCAGCCAGGGTTTTGCCTATAGCCACTCACAAGGATTCCGCTTTCATTTGCTAATTTTTTCCACCCAAATCTGGGTTACAAAGGTTGCACAACGATTATTTCACATAAGGTACAATTAATATTACCTAAAGGGCTGGTTTTGGACAGGTCTGAATTTTAACAGCACCGCAAAAATAAAAATAAATTTATTTAAAAAAAAACCTTTGGCATTGTTTTGATGAAAAAGAATTTCCCAGGATTGCTCACTTGGTAATCATAGGCTTTGAGAACCACGACATTCCGATCATCAGAGCCGGACAAAAGATATTCCCCGTCATCACTCCAGGAGATGGTGTTGACACAACCGGAATGACGCCTGACTGACTTGAGCAAACTCAATCGCTGCACTAAATGACGATCATCTAAAAACAACAACAAAAAGAAACTTCCATCATCAAGCTTTTTTCTTTTGATCAAGAAAGAAGCATGAAATGCTCCTCAGAAAAGCGTGCATACGTAAATTAAAGTGAAATAGAAGGTACTTACCTCTACAATCTTGAGCCAATCTTTGGTGCGAACACTGGCCTGTCGCCACCGCGTTCAGGTCGGTAAAAAACCCACACTGCTTTCCCACACGAGCCATTAAAGATACAGTAATTGGCGAATACGCCAAATTGTGGTCACATCGCACTGCGAAGAATACAAATAATCAAGTTTTCCACAAAAATTTCCAACAATTCACGCGCGGACGTAGTTTTTAACGCTCGGCAACTGCATTGCGAAATAATCGGCAATGGGAAATCGGCGCTTCCATATATAAAACCAGGATGATTATTCAATGATCAAGAATACAACATTTCACAAAACACGAGAGTTCTCCTTTTCAAGCCATTTTAAAACCTAGAAAGCCGAAGCTCCGAAGAAACAATTACTTCTTCGATAATACTATATCAACGTCGTCTTCATATTTTTTGCGAACTCTACGGCTCTTAAAAAAAATAAAATTCAAACCCAGATGCAACTAAATAATGAATTGCAATATTAAAAACTATTTCTTCAAGTTATGGTAAACATTTCGTAGTCCATCGAAATTTCCAGTAAACTGAAGGCTCGCAGAATTTTCTGACACTCCCCATTTCATCCTCCGACGTTCAATCACTGACTTCATTAGAATTAATGAAAAATTGCAAGATAATGCGAGACATCGTCATGAACGGTAATGTTCATGGTGCGAAACTTCTTTTTTTTACCAGCCAAGAATGCGTGAAACATAGGAAAATATCTATAATTCGACCAACTGTCGACAGAAATGAGAATTCGCTGAGGAAATTTCTGAAAAAATAATGGGATTCAAAGAGACAAAAATGTCGAGCAAAAGTATTCAATATGCCGCAACAGTCACTCCATCAAATAACTGGAAGTCCCAGCATGGGGATTTTCAAGAGAAGCTTCATTGACTTTTGATTGTCTGCTTTATTCCGTCGTCGTGCTGAAAGCAGAAGCTCCTTCCTTTCTTGGCACTGCGTTGGCAAAAAACGCCGGACTTCGTCTTCCCTTCGCACTTCCGCGTTGTTGTTGACGGCGTTAATGATACTGAACTGAAGACCAAACATGTGTTACAGTAGTTTCGTTTCAAGATCGTGTGAACATCCGTGAACACGAATTACCTGGACGTCAATGATTTTGCAAACCGCGATGGTGTCTTGGTCAGATCTTCGGATCTCTGCAAAAGAGAGAAATAATGAAATCGCCCTGAATATTTTATCTGATCACGAATATCCCGCCTGAATTTTTGTGATTACAGTTAAACATCGATAAATCGACCCTCCTAAAATAAAATACCGCCTTATGTCAATTTCTTGCAAGAGCCTATTTCAACTCCCTTAAAAACAATGCATTCAAAACCTCTCTAACTCCATGACTTTCCCCGTCAAAGCGCCATTAATCGTATTTTCTGAATGCGTCATGGCTATAATTTAAGTGACACAGGGAAGAGAAAATCATTTAAAATCTAACGATGAGTTTTGAAAGGAAGTGAAAGACAAATTGGGAAATTTAAATTCAGCATCCTTCCAACATTTTTAAGCAGCAAGTCAAGGCCCACAATATCATCAATTGCAATACTGTATCCTGTAATTCTTCGTCATTTCCCTCAAAACAAATGCCTCTTCCCTCAACTCGAAACCTCCCTCACTCAAATTTTCTTGCTGGTCCCTTGAAGTACGACATGAAGAGGTTCGACCACTACTTCAGTTACAATGCGATTTTATAATAAAATTGGTTCAAAATTTTTCATAAACCACCAGAGGGTTTCCAGAACTTAAAAATTTCCTTGAAAAATGAACTTACCCGGGACGAAGTAGGTATGTGATCCAAAAGCATCGTTTCGTCCATCCTGGCCCTCTCACTGATTTCCTCAAATGAGGACTCTTCCATGGGTTCCTACGTTCAATTGGACATGTTTTTTACTACTTCCATACACATATGATGGACAAAGAAAGAAAATAAAGTACAGTATAATACAGTACTTCCTTCATACAGCCAAGGGGTTGTGAGGAAAGGTCAAATAATCAAATATAAATTACAAGAAATTTTACGAAGTAAGACTGAACTGGCTGGACAAAATGTTCTGACAGAGGCCGGTATTAATTTTTAAAATCATTGCGAAACTCAGAAAAAAAAAATATTGGATCTGTGGATATGGACAATTCGAGACAGGAAAAATCAAGACAAACAATGTGAGGCAGGTACATTTCAATAAAGGAACAATTTGAGACAGGGAAAATTGGGAGACAGCAAATATTATAGATAAGGGCATTTTAAAGCAGCATAAATCAGAGACAGGGAAATTTTAAAGCTTCATTTGCTGCTTTATTCAAGATTAGAGAAGACAGCAAAGGAGCATGCAACTGATTCACTGCTGATACAAATCATACAAAAAGTCAAATCCAAAGATGATCCTCGAATTCTCTTCCAAAGAGGAGGACTTCGAAGGGGGCAAAGAGGAAAAGTGCTCTGTATGGCAAGAAATTTGAATGAAGTGGACATCATTTCAGAATAATATACCATGTTGGATGGAGAAAAATGGTTGGTCTATGATTCCATGCAAGAGGATAATGTATAGGCATTGTCATTCTTGGGAGTCAAAGGACCTTACGGGAGATGGCACGGAGCTCCAATCACTTCCGCCTCAAATTTTATAACAGAATTTGTATCTAAAATGTTTGTCTCGAATTGTTCACATGCCGAAATGTTCCAGTCTCACAGTTCTTGTATTTAAATACTTCCGCCCAGGATTGCCCCAGATCCAGAACCAAGTAAAAAAAATAAAATTTGGTTCAAGATCAATTGGATTCGACTATTGTTCGAGCTTCAAATGGAAAATATATCCTTGCTCCACATGAAAGTTCCGGAAAGTGTTCAAAGTTTATTTTTGAATATACGCTCTACATTTAGGCCAGTTAATGAATACAAATAACATTAATTCGATCAAAAGATCTCATTCTTTAGGTGAACGCGGTAGTCTTGGATGTGTGGTATCAGATCTCCAACTTACGTCGTCAAAAGCCAGTCCATCACACAGGTCCTCACTGTCACCTGAACTTTCGTCATTGGTCTAATAATGAAAATTTGTCAACAGCCACAGTAAATTAAGCTGTAAAGATAGTTCACCTCTGGAGTTGGGACTTCAAGACATTCTACAACTCCACGTTCGTTGCGAGAATCTCCAAAAATCTGCAGGGATAAGAAAATTATAAAACGTGAGAATGAACAAGAATATGAGTTTTGCACACCTCAGTCGGCAGTTGTCCCGATTGCAGAACTGTTGCATTCCTCTCAAATATCGACGATGCCATCATGCTGTCCTCCTGCTTGTCAAGAAAAATATTCAGCTTACATTGGAAAAAATTGTAACATAAGAAATTATACGTTCAAGTAGTCAGCAATTAGGGACGAAGTCTCGAGAGCATCAGAACATTTTCAAACGAGAGAATGAGCAAGAGTATGATTTTCCAAAATTGTATGAATCTGTTTTTTTCGATCCTCAAGAAAAATTTCGTTGAACAGCATCATAAGTAATAACTTTCCCATTACAGTATGGCCAGAGATTTCCACGCATTTCACAGTATGCTGAAAATCAAGACCCCCATTTTTTTCATTTAATGCAAGAAAAATATTCATTCAAAAGATTTGGAATTCAACAAGATCTTAGAAAGATACAGTAATAATCATGGTACGAAGTTTATATTTTTCAACTCTCTTGACAAATTTGTGCCCCGCTGAACTGAGTGAAAAATTCTGGTCCAATAGGGATTTTCGTTTCTTATCATTCAACGAATTGAAAACATATCATCGGAACTTGAAAAAAGTCTAATTCCCAGAACGTCATGAGGAAAATAATACGAGTTGTCCTTCATTTCAACATACGTTAGAAATCCTGCGTGGAACTAGGACAAACTTCGCACACTACTAGTTCCCATTTCTTCATATGCCCCGCACATAGTTCACGAGTAGCTTTAAGGTAAATAGAGCATACATTTCACCTCACAAAATTTCCAATTGACTTTCATAAGCTGTTAAAAACACGTTTTCAAACGAAAAAGTAGATTTTAGGAAACCCTTGAAAACTGAACATGCTTTCTGGTAAAAGTTATAGATCAACAATTTTTCATCACAAATGCACCTGCTAGGTCCGTAGAAAATATTCCCTCTCACACGGATACTCCTCAAAACAAAAGAAATAAAATAATATTAAAATACTGTACATGATATAATAAGATAAAATAATTCTAACCAGAGGAAATGGCGAGAAACTTCGCTCGCCACAGACACGGTCTTCAGTCAGTCCTGTCTTCACCCGCACCAACTCATCGCTCGCCTTCGTCAGGAACTCAATCGCAGCTTCCAGCATATCTTCTCGCACGAGATTTCCAACGAAACACAGGTCCTCATAATTTGTTCGCAGTTCCATTATCTGTGCAACAATTCACAGAAACAAAAAAAAAAAAAAACCCTTCAGGAAACTTTGGAAAACGCAAAAATTCGTACAACATGCGAAACCTGCTTCTCCAAATGCTCCATCACAGGCGACGATGCAGACTAACACCAAAAAAAGGCTTTGAAAATGCACAGAAATGATATCGAGTCTTTCGATCAACTACGAGAAGAAATCTATCTAGTTCGCACTAGGATTAACAGAATGTGGTCATATCAACAGTCATGAATAATCAGAAAAAAAAGACTTCAACTAAAATGATCTCATGTGATCTCGAAAAGTCGATCGACAGAAACTTCAACAGGTTCAACCCATCCATGGGGAGCTATTGGAAATACGATAACAGACCCGGTATACATACAGAAATGAATCACCTTTTAGAGATGGACTTGGAGAAAATTTCTTCATTACATAAAGGCAGAACACGGATGATGACATCCATCTTCCAGCAACTGGATGACTGCATCCACGCACGGAAAAAAATAAACTAGGTCAAGCGTAGTTCAACAATTGAAAAAAAAAAAAACCTTACCTTCAGATACAGATGAAGAAGAGTCGGAGAATCCGAGATGAGTTAGTTCGACTCGATGAATTGATCATTCACGGAAAACACAGGTATTTCAAAAATTCCAAAATATAAACTATTCAGTAATCAGAAAAGACGGGAGATACAGAATTACAACGATGTCACATTCGAAAAGAAGAAACGATGATACCGTAAAGTATTTACTCAAGTACTCATAAGGAAAAAAGAGGGTGCGCGTCATAAACAGGGATACAATTTTCAAAAAATGTCAGAAGTTTAGGTTCATGTCACGATTGAATACAATGGGAAAATTTTGGCAAGATATTTTTTAAAATCAAAACAGTTGAGATTAATTGAACTCATTTTCAAATTTGAATCCTAGTGTCTCTGATTTTTGAAATATTGTACATTTTCAGTCACTAAAATGTTCTGAACGTCTTACTAGGGGAAAAGATTTCATCAAACTTTTTGGGGTTAAAATTTTACGTGCATGTCTTAATCAAAGGCGCATGATACTCGAGTAAATACGGTACTTCACTAAAGATACCCGATCTGAATTCCAAGCTATCGGTTAAAATACAAGTTTACTACAACCTCCTACAAAACATTTTTTCATAAATCGCACTGGAAAATATGCATGAAAAAAAACGCAAGAATGAAACTTGAGATCACAAATTCATCACATGTTTCACACCTCCTTTCCCACGGTTTTGGAATACAGCGGACATTTTCATGCTTCACAGACAAAAAAAGGCTTCCACGCTAAGTTATTGATCGCGAAAAGAATCTCATTCCCGTTACAGCGAAAAAGAATCATCATCATTCAGCACAGTACCTTTTCGCGGTTCGCATTCGCACGTAACGGATACCAAGACAAGAATGTTTTTTTCCATACCCAGTACAATATTGGAATCCACGTTGTTTTTTTCAAGACTCAGACTTCCGCTGATCGAAAAACGCGCTGAGGGTCAATTGTTTCTTGGGTTTCCTCTGACACTCATCCCTAGGCACAAAGCCGTCTTCCCGCGCGGCGCCTCGCTTTCGTATCGGCGCAGATTTAACCGACGGCGTGGTGGACGTCGCGGCGCCCTCGCAAGTGGCGGCGTGATGCTCGATCTCGGGACGCCGGAAAAAACCGGAACATATCGGGCACTGCACGTCGTCTTGTTGACTTCCACTCAAACACCGGTCTAGATGCGCGTTCACGAGTGCCAGGGAGAGTTTAGCTAGCGACGTTGAACACACAGGGCATAATCTCTCCGTCCCCGACGGCTGTTTCAGAATCGCATCCAACGTCGACTGCTGAAGGAATATTCAAAAGTAACAATCAAGGCAAAAATGCAAGAGACTTCTTCGCAAGATATGAGTTCATAACACAAGAATATGCTTTCTGGATTGTCCGAAAGGGTAACATCTGCATCAAAAACGTGACACGAGAATCGTCAACCGGGCCTGATGTAACCCAACACCCGATTACTTAAGAGTTAGGACCAAACGAGGCGAACAATTTGCATGAAAAGTTTTTACTGGGAAAAAAGTGATTCACATAACGACATTGTTCAACATAAAAAAAATTTTCAACCCAGAAAATGCTCAAATTTGAACAGGTTTCCGACTAAAACTTGGGAATTCTTCCAAATATTGAAGAGAATAAATGAAAGAGATAACCTATACTTGTTTATAAAATTTTTGAAATTCAGCGAGGTCAAAGCCTAAACTCATGATTACTTCGATTTCAAACTAGTGTAATAAATTTAAAATTCACAATTTCATGCTGAAAAATATAAGCGTACACTGTTTTCTTAGTTTATTATTGTCTTTTAGTGAGTGCCTGTTACAAATTACATGATATACAATGAGACCTCTAAAGGAAAATCGCGTTTCGCAATAAAGTACTAAAATACCGCATAACAAAACCCAACCGGGAACGGATTAGTTTCGTTATGAGGGGACCCACTTTAATGCTTTGTTCTTCCGGATCCAGTTTCAACACCAAACAGACATTTCGTTGAGGCTAACTAAATTCATCCTCAAACGAAGGTTTGAGAAAAATTGATCAAAAAAGTCAAGATTTTGCTTACAATATCCATTCACAGAAATTCAGTATGACTGTCAAGATAAATTGATGCAATAATTTTCTGCACAAATTCCGCACACTTTTTATACTCTATATTATTGCATGCAAATTGGAAAATAAAAATATTTCAAACAGCACTGGTTTCGCACGTGAAAAGGTACATAACAAAAACCCGCGTGGCGTGAAATGAAAATTTAAAAAAATTACTTGATTCGCGGACTTCTCGCACAGATTCGAAGCTCTCACTCCCATTAACCGGAAAGCGCGTTTCGGCGCCATCTCACTCTCCAACATGGGCACCACGTGTCGACACAGAACATCCGCATTCCAAGTCGCTTCCGGCAAGTTCCGAACTCGCGTTTTCACATCAAACGTATCCGTCTTCAGCTTTATCGTTACGGATTTCGCCTGCAGCTATATTCACAGTCCGAACAAAAACAATTTTTCACAACGGGCATTCATAATACAGTAATCGCAAAAATAATTATTCAAAATTACTTTTAAACGCAAAAAATAATTAAACTGCACGAAGACAAATAGACAATATCGCTAAAATTATGATTTATTCGTTCGGAAAAAAGAAAGAATGCGTCGGAACACTGGAAACATTATTCATAATTATTGCAATCGCCAGGAAATCATACAAGGGATCAGCTCAAGATCCATTTTCAAACCCCGAAACACAACGGATCCTCCACAAACCTGCTTCCGCACCAGATCCTCACTGAGTTCCTCACACAAACGTCGGCACTGGTCCCGCAAAAAGTCAGCATCACTCGTCGCCTTGAAAGTCCTTTCATTGCTGACACTCTTGGCCGGGGCGTCCGAGTCGCCCATGAAAGTGGAACCCAGACCCATGGATACTCTCAAAAATGACAAAGCCGAGATTTCAGAAAAGAGTAACGATAAAAGGGCGCGCTGCTCAAACATCTCAGCGCATGTCGTAATGCCCAACGCGTTCAGCATTTGTTCCGTCACCTGCACAAGAAAAGAAAAAAAAAAGATATTCAAACGAACAGAAGTACAACGGCAATTATAGTCAAACCCTTTTAATTTAAACTCGAACTTCTCTAGCTTGATAACCTTCATAACTCAAATTTTTTCCTAGCCCGTAGAAAAAAATGTAACCTAAACATTTTAAACTCGGAATGTTTCAACTGTGATCCTCCTTGATCAACAAATTTTTAAGAAAAGAAAGAAAATTCAAATGGTAATGCTTTTGGACAGGAAAATGAGCAAATTTAATGGGTCCAAAAGATCCTGTTTGAAGTTCTGCATCTTGTAGGCCTACTTGAACTGCAGTTTCCTGTGGTGAGACTTTTTTATGCAGTGGGAATAATGAAAGAAATTCTTTTCGACCTATTACACACATTTGCAGCACAAATTTCTGCCCTACTTCCTTCTATAAAAATTTACAGCAAGCATTTTCATGCCTAGTTTCCGTAACCTTCTTAACTAGAAACCTTTCTACGTCGAATTTTTTGTTGTTCCCTTCAAATTTGACTGGGAGACGTCCGACATTGGGGGTGCAGGAGAAAATCCCATGGCTCGAAAATCTCTTAGGCCCAAAAATCTCACAGGGGGCGAAAATTCTGCGAAGTAAGAAAATCTATAGAAAAGTACACAGTTCATATTCAGAGCCAATGCAGAGATGATATAAAAGCTCCAAAAAAAGCAGGGACTTGGAGCAGAGCCGAAGCAGGCAAAATTTTTGGCTGCTCCAGGCTCCAAACCTGATAATAAAATTTGAAAAATTGGGAAAAAAACCCCCAGCCATATGTGACTGTTTGGCTGGCACCAGTCAACAAAAGTGCCTCCCTCCTATGAAGTCCTCAAACCACCTTCTGAATCCATTTTTTTTTTTTCAAAAACCCGGAGCAGAGCACCAGCCGGGAGCCCGGAGCAGGTGATTATGTCTGGAGCGGAGCAAATTTTTTTTTAACCCAGCTCCAAGTCCCTGGAAAAAAGGCTTCATCTTTTCTGGATCTTGAGAATGGTAATCCTCAACTTTCAAAATGGTTTTTAAAAACCCCGAAAACAAACTTTCACTATTTGGCAATTACAGAATTTTGTTCCCATGCGATTTTTGTAAAATCGGATCTGGTTCCAACAAATTTCGTTATAACCAATTAGTACTTTCGAAGTATTTGTTTTCTTGGTCCCTGTCCAATAGCTACAATCGTTCAAACGGATTTTTTTTCCTGCTCTTTATAAGAAAGCTCTTCTAAGGTCCCAAATGTTTCGTTGAAACGAGATTAACTGCATTTGTATTTTCATTTACACTTGCTCAATAATTCAGAATTTTCGTACAAACCACCGCGTACTTCTGTTACCAAAAGTCGCAAAAGGGGCTTTTTCTGATGATTAAATTCACGTTGCGGGATTTTCGTACCCCGCGATATTTTCTCAGTGGAGTTTCGATTCTAGTACCTTGCCAATCCCACAAGCCTTCCTCACAGAAAGCTTCTCGACAAACTCCGCCACCACTGGCCTCTCGGGTCTCAAGTAAAACTGCCCATTCGGCTTGTTGATATCAGAACACACTTTCGCCAACAGTGTGTTCGGTGCGATGCCTGCACTCGCAGTCAGCTGCGTGGCGAGAAAAATCTCTTCTCTCAGGTCCGACACCACTTCCTCAGCGTGCGATAAATCCGACGGCTTCCGGACATTCTGATCCAATCGAAGAAACTCCGTGATGTCCAGATACGCTTCATCCAGAGACATGGCAGAGTAGTTGGGATCGTATTTGGCAAACACTTCGCTGAAGATGGCGTTCACGGCACGATACTTTTCGAAGTTGGGCGGCACGATGATGAGATCCGGACAGAGCTTCTGTCCGATGAAACCTGGCATTGCAGCTCGGACTCCGAAACGACGAGCGAGGTAATTCGACGTCGCCAACATTCCGGGTCCACCAACTGCCATGGGTTTATCTCTACGAATGAACACGATAATATTTTCGCTTCCATCACTGATGAACAGAATTCATCCTCTTTGAATCGCGTGCGACGGACTCTATCGCAAAATCTACAATGACACAAAAAAAGAACGCTCATGACCTGAGCGTTCTTTTTGAATCTGAGGTACGCTTTGAATCGCTGCACCAAATGCTCATTCACAAGGTGAGACGAAAAATCTCGAAAATACAATTGAACCTCGATAACTCGCACCTTCTTATGTCGAATTTTTTTAAAGTTCTCGTCTGAATTTTTTTCAGAAACACTGCACTCTGGAGGTTGTTTGGCTATAATTTTATTGACAGAGGAAGGAGAAAAGCTACACAAATTTAACTTGATGCTTTTTGACAGTAAGTAAAGGAATAATTGGGAAAATAAAACCTCGGCTTCGACTTCAGCATCCTGTGAACTCATTCAGGAAGAAATTTAAAGCCCTAAACATCAGAAATTACAGTTTCCTAACTTCTTTTTTCGTTTCCCCAACAAAAACGCTCGTTTCCCTTATTCGAATTTTTCTGCTGGTCCATTGAAGTTCGATTCAAGTTTGACTGTAAATGAAATGCTGAAAAAAGTACCTTAAAGAAGGATCGTCACGCATTTCAACAGCCGCGTAAAACGCGTCCATGTCGACGTGAACGAAAGTTCTCGACAAGTCCCGGGATTTCTCCAGATTTCGAACAATTTGACCAACTTTGGCTGACGCATTCTTCAATTGTTCTTCAGTAATGGCTTTCTTTTTTCGAAGAAGATCCGCGATCTTGGCATCGATTCTTTCTTGTTGTTTTTTCTTGTGATCGTAGAACTTGGAGCCCTTTGACGCTTCTTCTATTATCCGGCTAATCTTCTCCTTATCCAGGTCTGCCATTCCTACGAAAGAATTCCAGAAAAGAAGAAAAAATATTCGTAAACGTTCACCGGATTTAATTTCAATGAAATTTGATACGATTCCAGCTCATATTTTATGCATCGTCTCAATGCGTGATTTAAACATAGTGAAAAAATCCTAACGAAGATGTCACGGATTTCCCCACACTGTCGAAATTAATACAAAGCTCACCAGCTTTATTGTCGTTGAGTTCCATAAGGGTCCCAGCGTGATGAAACGGCACATCGTGATTAATGTCATCACTAAAAAGATCATCGTCACCGGTATCACTGTCGAAATCGTCATTCATGTTGAGCCTGCGTACAACACATCGTCCACTCGTAAAATTGAGCCCTCCTTCTTCCAATCGAACAAAAAACTTTCAATTTTTTTTCCTTGCCACACTTGGCCAAAAAGGCGAATAGCAAAACAATGGCGCGTGAATGAATTAATCACGGCATGAGGTGAATGAATTCGCACACAACTTCAATGACGATCAAAATGATGATCATCCACTCCAGTCGAACGTGATGAGTGTCGTTCAAGTGCGTCACGAGGATGTCCATCAAATCACAGCACAGACTAAGTTTCTCGTTCATCACCTTCGAAGAAAAAGGGAGTTTATTTTAAACGCACGAAATCTTCGAATGAATACGCTATGTTGGAAAGTTCCCGTTCAGAATTTTTTTGCTTTTCACGATATCGTGCAATAATAAAATTTAACACAGCATTTCTTCCCAGTTCTTTCATCACTCGTAGGTAGAAAGAAAAAACTAGGGGAAATTGATGAGAAGCAGAAAAATCAGTGATGATGAGCTGACTGAGTCTGAGTCTTGTTTTATAGACAAAAATCTTTTTCAGGGAATTTTTTTTTTTCGACGCACTCAAATAATACAGGAATTTGTAGCGAATCAGTAGAAGAGTAAACGCATAAATACGGATTTATTTCACGTTTTTAAGAGAATCTTCGAACGCGTACTTCTGTTCAATCCCAGGCAAGTCATGAAGAAACTCACCTTGGCCCGTTTACCGATATTGAGATAATCCTTCATGTGCTGATACAGCGGTTCCAGATTTTCTCGATCCCAGTAAAAATCAGGGGTTTCGTCGAGGAATTCCGAACTGAGGTTCACGGAGTGACGCAAAGCGAATAATGCTCCCAGCTTCTTCAGGACTTCAGTTCGAGACAATCTGATGAGTCCCTCCTTCCGTAAATCCTACCCAAAAGAAAAGATCAACACAAGATTCAGCCAGGCTTTGAAGCGACAAGATCTTATTCATAAATCAATCAAAATATCGGGACAAAAAACCACTGAATACATTCTTGAAGAAGAAAAAGGCAGGAAATGTTTCTGAATTTCTGACGCGATTTTATTTTTTGGAACCTACGATTTGTGGAATTCTGAGGAACTGAAGACAAGAACTCATTTCTCGACAAGAGTGAAATAGGTACTTAGGACATTTTTGGACCATTTCTTCCACGAAAAAAAAAAAAAAACCAGAAATACACGAGCGCAACCTAGAGGAAAATCAGTAGATGGCCGTGCAGCCACTCCGAACATTGCAAATAAATACCTCATGCACGTGTTCGATTTTTTCGACAAATTCGTCCAATGTGGCCTCCAAAATGCCGAGCTTCACAGACAACGCCAAAGCGTGCGAAAATGTGTACTTGTCCAAATGTTTCGGACTCGATTCATTCGCGAGAATGATCTGATTCTTCTGCAAAAACGCCTTCGCTCTAAATCCCAAAACTTTCATCAAATTATAGCGCGAAGTTTGTAACAAGGAAAACTAATAATAATGAAACTTACACTTCGGAATGGGAGTACGACATCTTCTCGGCTTCGTCGAACACAAAATTTTCCGGGTATCTCCCCTTCTCGAAATCCCGCAGTTTCCGTAAAATAGTTAAGCGTTCGAGCTCAGTTACATTCCAGAACACGACTGAACCTCCGCACAGGAAAAATATTTCTCGTCGTTCGTCGTCAACCAAGTACCTCGGCGTTATTCTCAAAGCGTCACAGCCATCTGATGAGAAAAAGTGAAGTGATGACAAAATGCCGCAGAAAAAAAAAATTTACGCAGATCAACGTAACTCCTGAGAATAGAACGCAAATCCGGGATGATTTTTTTTGCGATGGGAAGAATCACGCCACAAATAAGATGTTGCAGTTGATCATACGGATGGAAACCCTCTTCCATTTTCATCATTAAAAGGCAAGCATTCGTAAAATAGACGCAAGAATGAATAAAATCCATGCATGAACGTTAAAGGAAAAATAAATTCAAAGAAAAACATGGGAGAAATGACAATTACGGAGAGCGTACTTCACTGGAAATTAGTAACGCGCTTTTCATACTTCAGTTTTAGATGTTCCTGCGTTCGAGAATTTTCCTACGTCATCCGTGTTTTTTGACCGAATCAGTTGATGCATCTTTTTTCTCGATTTCTAATCGCAAATCGCGGTATTCCCTCCTGCATCTTCCTCTTTATTTTCTATTTTCTCGTCGCACAAGAAAGAAAGACGCTCATAGTTCACAGATGCAGCGTCACGGAACCCACCTTCGAACATCTCGAAGCTGTCGTACAGGCCCTCACGACGAATTAGTCGGTGTAATCCATTCAAATCATACGCCTCGGCCGTGCAATACGCATCCACAAACCACGTCTGGAAAACATTTCGAGAAGGCAATGGATGGGGTTTAAACAGATCTGTCGCCCGTTCTACGTTCTCGATATATTAAACCTACGAAGTCTGAACAAATTTTCATGGGAATGCAAGCGTGAGAAGAAAACTAGTCATGCGAGCGATGCGACAGTGACCTTTACTTCCAACTGAGGAACACAATAAATTCAAATAATGAAAACTTTGCAGCGAATTTTAAAGACGAGCAGCTATTATACTCGAGAAAAAACTTGAAAAATTCATAATCAGGAGCGTAGGTAGCAAGGCTAACTTGGAAAAACCTTCTCAACCACGATCATGTAACTCGGAACATCCGGAGCTATAATACAGTACAAGTGGATCACTGACCAACACTCGAAGGCACCACACATCATCATCATGAGCTATCTTTCATTATCATCACTGTCACACACTCGCAGTTCAGTCTGAACTTTCAATTCACCTTAGCGGCAGGGTCTAAAGCAGAGGCGAGCTTCTTGCGGTTCAGTCGCTTCACGTGATTCGCACTCATAATCGGCGCAGGTGCAATTTGAGGAACAGACGCTGACATGGCACGTGTCATGACGCGACCGAGCGACTGTCGCAAGCCGCATCGCAACGACCACATATGAAGATACTTACTGTAGCACCCAACACAAATCGAAAATACCACGTCACTAAAAAAGAAGAGAGAAAAGACCGATCGCAAAACTCCAACTTTGCGTGACACACGATCCGCGATGGATTGAACGCATGGCATATAACTACCGCGCGCACTTTTAATGTCGCCTGAAATCGGTGCTTTGCACTCCGGAAGATATCATTTAAACACGATTCTCGTGCACCACTTCCAACACGTTCGCAGGAGACCTGTAAAGCATTCCTAACGTCACCTGCAAAGGACAAAGCAATCCGATTTTACAAGAAGTCTTACGAGACCATGTAACCCCACAAATAAGGGAAGAATATGTTGTCATCACGACTCTTCCCGCTTTAACTCGGTTTTTAAACCTCAATTCTGATTCCCTAATGCATGCTTCCATTTCCCAGCTGTCAATCTTCAAATTTTTTCGCCTCTTGAATGAATTACCTGTCGTCGGATAACTGCAACCTGCTCCTTCCCATTGTCGAGCAACTTGCGGATCTCGGCTGGATCCGATTTGTTCTTATTCGCCTTGAACTCATCCGTCACTCGTCTCAACGCGTACGATCTGAACAAAGCACAGGATCGAATTCAAAGCTGACCATTGAGCGAATTTCATCCGTGAGTCACCTGAAATTGTAGTCCGTGAACCTCTTGCTTTCCTTCAGCAATGTCCGGTAAAGCGAAAGAATCTCGCTTCTTCCCACAGACATAATCAAACCACTGTTCGGCAAACAAGGGCGCGTTCCATTGAAATGAACAGAACACAAGCGCCGTAATTTCTGCACTCCCTGCAACAAATGTGCGGGGATTTTCCCTGATTCAAACATACAGTACACCAATCAAGCTTCAAGGAGTGGAGAGAAGTAAAAATGCTCGAGGATGAAGGAAAAAAACCACTTCTTTCATTTTTTCCACGCACTTTTTCCCTTCTTCGTAAAAACAAGCGACCGGACTGAAAGCAATCGAGGATTGACCTTTTCGTAGCTACTGATTAATTTCACAGCAGCCGCTCAGCCCACGCTTTCTTGACGCATACCAGCATCTTTCCGTAGTTTTATCCTAACGAGAGAGAACCAAAGCAAACGGATTTTCTAATTATGAAAACGTAGCAAGTGAGCAAATAGAAATATCTCTTAAAGATGTACCCAACCATAGTTAAGAGGGGTCAATTCTTTAACGTTTGAACACTTCGGTCAACATGGTCGAACAAAAATCGATTCTGACGATAACTCTTGATCAATTCGACGAGATGCAGACAAAGCAACTTCGCTTTCGAGGCAAGAACATCACGCAATTAAAGAATACAGGTAATTCAACATGAAATTAAAAACTCAAGTAATTTCAGAACAGTAAAAGGCCTTCAGAACCGGAGTCCATGACAACATTAGAGTAAGAATTCTTACAGTCATCCTGATCTCCGACCAATTGTGTTGAACAAGCCACAGAATTCGCGGACGCATGAAAAAGTCATTGTCTCGATATGTTACAGTTTCCTATCAGTTCCTACTTTCAAGACGATTACTTCTCTTGAGGTCAAGTGCAGTATTGTATTCTGACAGATCATCCTCAAAAATCAAGCGTGAATGAATTCTAGAAATGAGGGGAAAACGCTCAAGGCCGTGTGCATAAGGTCGGTTCCCGTAAAACCGATCAACTGTACGCAAAGTCAATCCTCGTACACTTTTCGGGGGTAAAAAGTGAGCACGAATGACGCATTCATACAAACAGCTTGGATCTGGGACGGAGATTTTCTTGAATGACACTCAATTCGCACGCGAATGATTCATTTCGCGACATGCCTTTGACAAATACTTGCAATTCCTAAATTAATGTCTCATTTTAATCCACTTCCACTTTTTTTTTTGATCAGGCAGTTCTTGACTTTGGACGGAGAACATTTCTGTCGATTCCTCAGGTTTACAAAACGTTAGGCTCTGCAGGAAGATTTGGACACGGAACATCTTAGTGACTAGGGTACCGAAAGATCATTCGAAGCACACGGACGATTAAGCACAAGGTGGGAAAAACAGCTAGTTATCCATCATTGCAACGAATAAACAAAGCACAAAAAACACACGGGGAAAAATCCCCTCGGGAAGAAGGAAACAAGCAACGAAAAATCCCGCGACAGGCAAAATGGCCGAAATTCGTTTGCGGCTTTGGCCTCAGGCCACGTGGCACTCACAAATCTAAAAGAAATTCTCGAACAAAGTATCCCATTGCCTCTTCAACGTGAAAAAAAAAAAAAAAAAAAAAACTGTTCCGTTCCAGACACGCCATCGTATAAAAATAAACGATTTGTCTAAGAAATACTGTCCGAACTTATAGCGACGGTGGAAATTTTTGTCGTTGAAAGAATCCACTTTTCACGAAATGCTGAACGAACGCATCGGGATATTTCGGGTTACCACGGTAAGGACGGAATGCTTTGCACGTCATTTCATTCTTTCTCCTCGTTTGATCAATATTACAACTTTCCCACAATATACGCGCAGAAATGCCACAGGAACGACGCAGTTGGGAGCCTCCCTTGGAATGCGGGGCTCCCAACGATGCGAATGGAAAATCTGACGAAGTACTTCTCAACTAATACAACAACAAAACATTGCAAGTAGCTTAACGAAAGCAAATCAATATTGCTCGGGATTTTCGAGAGAAAAAAAACAACCGCGATTCCTAAACAAATCAATCATCATTCGCAGATCCACTCCAAGTTTTTATTTGGAGCGGCACCAATTTTGTTAGAATTTCAAGTACCAAAACACCTGAAGATGTCGCCAGTCGCTTCTCTTCTTTCAAGAAGAATTATTGTACTGTACCGTAATTCATTTCTCCCAGTCAGACGCTGAAGTCCGAGTTCATCAAACGATAAAAACAAGGATGGGGTCACATTCAGCAGCATTTACTCGGTATTATCGCTACACTGCCTTAACGGGGAAACATTTAATAACATACATCCGATAAGAAAATTGCTTCAACACGCGTGTTTGATTCAAGATTGCAATTTACCCAACAACAAAATAATTGCACTTAAGCGTAACTGTATACGCACAGATAATGTACCTGAAAGCTGGACAAAACGTGGAATGAGAGCCTCAGCAAGATGAGAAATGCTAGCAGCATTTTCCTGAAATAAAATTATAAGATTCACACGCTGGTGTCGGAAATTTCGGGTAGTAATCTAGAAATTGCGACCCTGAAGATTCACACAATTACGCTGAACATCTCTCAAGTTGAACATTCCTATTAAGATCGAAAAATCGATCCACGACGGAATTCCAGCCATTCTTTCTCCCTCATCAATCGAATCGCTGAGATCATGTACCGCGCGGGCGATATCTTTCACGCAAGCGAAATTTTTCAGAGCCGATATCCGGTAAAAAGGGGACACAAATGTAACGAGGACGAAGGATTCAGATGTAAGTGTCACCCGGGTGTGAGACGTGAACGTAACCGGGTGGCGCAGGCGGAGGCCGTTTCCGCCTCATATGCTGTTGGGCCAGATTCGCAGCCATCGCTGCGCCGTGTCCCTGGTGAAGGTGCTGATGTTGTTGTTGTTGTTGTTGCGCGGCGACATACGCAGGGGCGTCGAACACACTACCGTATACCGTCCACGACGACGCGGAATGCCCATACGGCGCCTGACCTCCTCCGCGGCGGAATGGCGACATAGGCGCAGTCACTGGCGGCGGCAGAGACCAGGGTCCAGCAGAAAAATCTTCCGCTGCACAACCACCACCACCACCACCACTACTATTGCTGCCGCCGCCCCCACCGCCACCTCGGCGTCGCGGAGACAAGGCTTTCATTGACGCCGAGAGACGTTCGTTATGCAAGTGCATCTCCTGAAGCATATGGTGCGATGGATGTAGAGAGGCTGTGGCTTGCGGTGGAATGGCAGATGTAGACGCAAACTTGGCCATCTGGTCTCCCATGCGGTAACGCGTGGTTTGCAACAGCTGCTGCAGTTCTTGGATCTCGGCGTTGTGTTGCCTTGTCATCTCTGTAAATATAAATCAGTTCTTCACTCCGTCTCAATCCAAAACTTGGATGAAATCCACACACTCTCAACAAATTACACACCACACTCCTTCCCCTTGAAGAAACCCGAGCAAGTGTGTGTGCAGCAAAACGTCTAGAAAGAGTGCAAGGAAGAAATCTCAGAAACACTACCCAATTCACCAAGACAAACCGTGCAACTGCATGCGACAGAGTAACATGGCTCAAAACAAAAAAAGGACAATAAAGTCTCCAAAACTTCAGACACAGGATAAGGGTATTCCACACGGCAAAAAAAAGTAACAGCGAAGTCCGCAATTGAAAAAGAACGAAAGCCTGCACAAGCTCAACACACACGGGATCAAGAAAAAAAGACTGCAAAACCAGCAACAGTCTCTTTCATAATTTTGAACTTACACTGTACTGTACAACTAAAAATTGAAAGGAGTCAAAATCATGCTTGTAAATCTCGTTTCCTGGTTGGGACCACAGCAAACAATTCTAAAACAATAGTAGTTGCTAAAATATACAATTTTTCAGATGAACAGTTCATACTCATACATTCTCTTGTTCTCCATATTTCGAAAACTTTTCGTCAACAAATATTAGGATAACTCTGACAGGATGATCTTGCTCATTATTCGAAGCATGAATATGAATCAATGATAAATTCAAAAAAATTAAATGCCCAACAATGCTCTCAGGAATGTCTGGCTGATTTAGCCTCAATCACCATCCTCCCTGACATTACCCATACGGTATGAAAATAAATTTTCGAGCAACAATTAAATAACGGCGAAGAGAATCCAGAAAAAAATGATTTCGCGCTATGGAAAGGAATCGAAGTGTAACAACATATCTTCAAGTTATAAAAACTGGGCATGTAAAAGGATGCGAAACTGAACGGTCGTCAAGAAACATTCATAAACTATACACGAGCTCGAGGGATTCTGGAAACTACACACCATTCAATGAGAGAAAACCTCAAGATGTAAAACACGGCAAGCAGGAAGACAAATGTCTCAATCAAGGGCTCTGTCAACAGGGATACGCAAAAATACTGCTAGGAATGTACAGTACACACGAAGCACACAACTGACTATTTTCGGGATGGAGCAAACCATTCTCTCAGATTCATGCAAGCGTGAACCTTTTCAAAAGCATGAATATCACTTAGCCAAAGGCACCTCAACTTTGCACCGCGTGCTACCCCTCAGATGCAAGTCAAAGAACCAGAGAACGTGCTCGAATCGTCTCAACAACTCATGCACTTCTCTGCGACACGGAACAATCATGAACTGAAATAAACACGAACGTAATCAAAAAGTAAGAACATAATGTCCAAGACGGGCACATTTTCAGAGAAACATTACACTTTTCTCAAGAAAACCGCGCGCTCTTGGGGGAAAAAAACAAAAATAAAATCGGGGGAAATCATAAAGCAGGCACAAAACTGGACTCCACCCTAAACACTCAGCCATTCTTTCCGCGCTAAAATACGACTCCTTCGATCCGCCTTTTTTTCAATCTCGCAATATTTTGCGTTTATGGCATTCGTTAGCGTTTCACCGGGATTCACGAACATGTCCCTTCATCCAATACGAAATGATCCTCGCGTTCACAGCAACGAAGCGGGAAAAAATCAAACATCAGTATTTCTACATCACATTCAGCGAACACCGACCTTGTCAACCCTCGAGAGGGATTAAAACCTACGGTAAAGTTTACGTATTGCTCGCATACAGATACATGCAACAGGCATGATAATAGAAGCAGCTAAACAAAAAAATAAACAGAAGGGGACAAAGGGTGTGGAACATCGAACAGCCCGGACGCAATTAATACCGTTCTTCCAGTCATCGTAGTAATGCATGTATCACCAGCAGATATTAAAGGGGCATTTGACCATATCCTTAGCCCATGAAACATCCGTTTCACGATTGGTTGATCACAGATTGACGCCACTCGATACATTCTTGGCGTCATTTCTCAACTGAAATCGTATCACAGCCAAAAAACGAGTAGGGAAATCGCCGTCATAAATTGTTAACTTCATCACACGAAATTGAAAAATCAGTTTTCACCACTCGGCGCATTTCCACCATCCGAACTGAATAGACTTGAGATTCAAGATTAGAACTTCAACCAGTTAAGACCACCGGATCCGATAGAATGCTTAGTTAAGTTACCCTATATTTAGTAAATAACAGCTTAGGGCAATGCACGTCAGAATACCTTTCAAGTGATGTCTCATAATTCGTGCATCAGCAATTCCCAAAAGATAGAAAATAAGCTCGACGAACGAGTAGAAGCTGGACGAAAAGAAAGAGATGCAGAGAGAGATGCTGTCGACCTTTAAAAAATTTTGACCGAATTTACGACCAACCAGCTGAAGATTTCAATCGATAATCAGCCATCACTGTGTACGCAGTTCCGCTTCAACACAATTGCTCTGTTTGTTCCATGAAGCACATAGAAAATTATTCGAGATTCTACGCGAAGTTGAAAACTTTCGTGACATAAGATCGATAACAAAGTAAACAAACTGTCACTTTTGGGAATCATGCACGCTAAAACTTTCTTCTCTACATAGAAGTACAGTACTGTATACACAGTATTCGACAGAACAACAAATATTCTTCGTAAGTAGACAGCAATTGAAAATTATTTTTCAAAAACGCTGCACTTATGTTTCTACTATTCGGTCTGCCTTTTTTCAATTGAACTAAAAGAGAGCAAGTACAGTAGTTAATTTCTGAATATAAATCATCACCTTCCCTGCGTTTAAAATATCTACGCTTCACCAAATACAGAAAACACGAAAAGCAAGAAGTTTGTAGCATTTAAAATGTTTCCGCGCGAGAACGTAATTTCATCACGTTTTCCCACCAGAATTTCTTTTATAACCGTTGCCACTTTTCATTTTCTCCCCAGATGGAGCAGTTACCGATTACATTTTGAGGATAAAAAGGCATTGGTTTCACACAAGAAAAAAATTGAATCGGATTGCATAAAAAACTTTCTCAATCCCCGAATCTGACTTCTCGTGACTTTACTTTGCTTGGCTATGCGTAAAAGTACAGTACCGTATGCTAAAACTTCCAGTTCTGCTTCCGCATTTTGCCCTAGAGCCTAGACCAAAAACTCAACAGTCAACAATGGAATCACAGCAGAAAAATATTCACCGAACGTAGCATTTGGTCTCTGATTCGCAGATTTAAAATTGTCACAAAGAAATCTTCCGAACGCTCGAAATACACTTGACAAAGAACTCGTTCATATTCAACACAAACCGGGGAGAAAACTAGAAAGGCGTACGTTAAAGCCGGTTAAGCTGATTGCGTCGGGGACCTGATACGATGTGCTCGCACAACATTTGACCCCTTCGATTTTCCAGAGAATACTCTAAAAAAAATGATCAAGACTTGAAACGGAAGCAAGGGAAGACACAACCGAGGATGCGGGTGCAGCAGAATCTAGACAGAGCCACGAAGAGGCGAAACATCGCGACGAGATGGTCGCGCCACGTTAATCGCTTGCCGTGAATGATCTTGCCAGCGTGGTCCTGTTGCTGTCGCAACGACGCCTCCAGGTGTCGCGCCTTGTTCTCCTCGCGCCACAGCTTCACCGCAAGGCGCTGCACCTCGTCTGCTGCAGGCCGCTCACGCAATTCGTCCGCCATGGCTCGTTTCTCATCCTCAGCCACGACACGGTCCGTCTCCAGGTCGTGCACGAGTCCCTCAGCTTCCCAAGCGCGCATTTTCCACGAGATGGCGGCTGTCTGAACGCGGGACGCCGACTCGCACAGCGGCGACACCTGGCGGGTCAGGGCTTCCACGCGTCGTTCCACGTCCGCGTAGGTGCGGGCCAAGAGGGTCACCCATTCATTGCTCAGACTACGCATCACCGCAGACACCTGCCGCACGATCTTGTTCTTCTCGCTTTCTCTCTCGGTGCAAAGGGCTTTCCAGTGCTTCGCTTCCGCCTCGGCTTCCATCACCTGTCACCCACACAAAATCCATCTGATTCACACACTTCAAAGTCGTAAAAACATGGAGCCTTAGAACAGAAACGCCCAGAATTCTTCGGCAAATAAAAAACAGGAACCGATCGCACTAGAGATTATTCCAGGACTTGTAAAACGCTCTGACAGTAATATTTCAATCATCTCCGTAATATGATTCGAAGACTTTTTTAAAATCAGCAAAGGGAAACGAATGCTACACATTCCAAATCTTACTGTATCGCATTGAAAATTGTGTCTAGCATTTTGGCACCTCTCTAGATTGACAAAAAGGCTAAAATTCTTACGAGGATCACATTTTCAAGGTCCAGATTTTACCCTACACGGAAAAAAAAAACTGGCTGAATTTTTGGCAGATATAGAGCTGGCAACAAATCCCCTTCACCAGAAATGAATCTGACAATCCGTCTTACACGACAGAAACGTGAACTGAAGGAATCCGCATTGAACAGGATCCTCACCCTTCGTATCGTGAACAATTTCGTTTCCTTTTGCTTCAATACATGACCTTTTCGTCACCTAAAACATTGCCTAGACCGAAAAATTCCCATCAGAACTAGCTTGATTCAAATCAAACAAAATCTATGCAATGAGGCAAAAAAACCGCGTATTTCGGGACATTGGCGTTGAAGGAAAAATGCATAGATATTCTCTCTTTTTTGCTTTTGGCTTGTAACGGTCAACTTTGTTGCAAAAAATTCCCAAATCTAGAAGCTTCATCACTTTTTTCAAGGAGTTCCTTCACTTGTAAAAACTGTTTCAAACACAAGCACGTGAAAAAAAATAAGGAAAACAGAGGAAAGCCCAACTTGAATTTCGTAATCCGTCTCCACGATCGTCGGCAATGAACTCTGCTGCAAAGATTCTTCGCAGCGCTTGGTCTTCTCTTCCGACACCGTCTTCTGTCCAGCTGCTGCCTCTTCGTACTCGGCAAGCTTGGTGTGAAACTCGAGCAAGAGCGAGTTGAGCTTCTCCGACAACTTGTTGATATGGTCTTCGTAGTACTGCCGCTCCTCCTCCATCTTCTGCTGCCAGTACTCCTCCGAGTCCTCGTACTCCACTCGCAAAAACTCCAGCTTCGACGACAAGTCCCCGTTGACTTCGTTCAGGCCAGCGACGCGCTGTTCCGCCTCAGTGATCCGGCTGAGTTGCGCATCCAGTTCCTTAGAGGTCACGTCTGTCATCTCTGAAGCATCACGAGCAGGGCAAGGGTTTCGAGGTGAAACGCAGTTCTCGTGGTCTGCAACCCGTGGGTCTTCCGAGCTGCACGACTGCAGCTCGTGCATCACATGTTCTAGTCGCGAGAGGATCCCGGTGATTTTCTTCTCTCCGGTGGATACACTCAGTCCGTCTACGGTGACTTGAGAAGTGCTCGAGTCCATTTCTTCGTCTGCCTCGCTTGCTGGTGGAGTCGGCGTCGCTTCCATAGAATCCATACACACTAAGAATAGTACAATATCTTTTGAAAATTCTCGCGTCGTCATCACGGACGGCATGGGAATTACTAAAAAAGTGAAGATAACTCCTCTTAAAAAAAAAAAGTACCGTACTTACGCGAGTACTACGCGTCAAAATTGGAAGGAAAAAAGGGATGCGCATCATATGCGGGGATAAAATGTAAAAGGATTTGAAATTTGGGGGTCGTCACACTCGAATATATTGTGAAATTTTTGACAGGAAATTTATGAAAAGCAAATCGATTAAAAATCCTAGAATTCAGGTTGAATACATGTTTTAAAGTTGAATTCTGGTGGCTTCCGTTTCCCAATTACGCTAATGTAATGTAGTTTTTTAGTCACTAGAATAGGGTACGCATCTTACACGGGGATACGATTTTATCAGAGTTTTAGGGTGAGAAATTAGGGTGCGTGTCTAACTCAAGGGCGCAAGAAACTCAAGTAAATTCGGTACACAGCACTGAATATCCCAAATAATGACAGCCAATTTGTGAGTTTGGTCTTGTACTCGGCATCACGTACAAAAAATGTATTCGAAGAAACATTCGGGGCTTTTGACCAAGTGTAAAATACCAAATTTTGGATACGTCTTCTCATTCAAATAAGTGACCAACGCAAATCCGGCGTATTTTATTAGAATACAGTCAGGATTTATTGCCACCCTCGCATAGGGCCACAAATTTCCCAGGAACAAACCTCCTTCCATTGTTTTCAAGTGAAACCTCAATTTAATACTGTACCAACTCGCATAGTACCACAAAATTATTTCTTTTTCTGGGTTAAAAAAAATGGGCGCAAATCAAATAAACTGATTTATTTTCTAGGGATATCATCAGCTTATTACTCAGAAGCACACGTTCATTTCAGGATAACTTTGACAATTCCATCCATCTCTGAATTTACATCATTATTCATTGGCATTATTTGGATATCCTCCAAAATGAGTAGTATCTTCATAAAAGGAATAGCCTCTTCAAAAGATAAGTTCATCTTATCTTGGAATTGTGTGCTTCCATTGAAACGTTAATACAAGAATGCAAAAAACGATATGCTATTTTCGTTTACACAATTGTAGAGTCCTGCATGAGCAAAAATGAAAAATCTAATATATTTTTCATCATTAAATAAATTGAAATACTCTACAATATAAAAACAACGCAAGTAAGCCTAAAATTATTACTTTGCGACCTTCTCCCCCATGAAAAAGGCCCAATGGCCGAACAATTCTGTAAAGAAGCCTACAGTATTTACCTACAGTAGAAGCCCTCAACTAAACCTTCTTCTGATGCAAAACCCCCAATACAAGGCCACAAAATGTGGCAGGACCAATGATGGCACTAAATCCAGGCTTGACTCGTCGATTCTGATGTCCAGAAAACGTCTCAGAATTTCTAAAATTATTTTCGAGATTTCATCAAATAAATCACTGTACTGTAAGCAGAACCATTTGGTGACCATGAAGTAGAATATTACATAACCATAAGGGCTAAACATTCAGAGACATCCTGTTGCAGCCTCAATTGGAGTGGAAAAAATCGAATCAAATCTTTTTTTTTATCCGAATAAGGGAGTTGAAATCATTCAAAGTCTTGAAAAATACTGACGTCATCTGATACCAAGCGATTCTTCGAAAGTACCTGTACTGTCGTCACCTTCAACTTGAACGGCAAAGTAAATATTTGCCAGAGCTCCTAATCGTTGATCTTCGCGATACGTTTTACCACTATCTCGACAGACTATCTCAAAAGCTCAGCCAGTACTCATCATATTGCTGACACGGAATGGAAAATTTATGAAAAAGACGCGTCTTTTGTTCAAGTGCAGTACTGTCAGAATGCACACTGCTACAGTACCACGGGGCATCTACCAACAGGACACTGAATGGAACAGAAGTGCTTCGCAATTTATAAGCGGAGTAAATATCTGTACAGCACTTCTGAGACTGACTTCATGCTGAAATCGCTTAATTCAGGGATTATCCTCAGTCCATAACAGAAAAATGATGATACACCCACGCAATACCGGGTTCCAATAATTTAGTCACGTGATCAACCAACCTCATCAATATTGACAACTTCATGAAACGACCGACATTTTATTTTCACGAATCCAGGAAGAATTATTTTTCCTGCTGCCAGTACAAAACAAGAAAAAAAAACCCCGTTAGTGGGGTTGATACTCGGTCCGTTCCGATCATCGACCTAATTAACAAAATACTCAAGCATTCATGAGACGAGCGCCTAGCCTGTGCTCATTCCGTGTACCATGCACGCCTGGTTATTATGGACGCTAACGAGTTCACCCAATTATCCCGTGTAAGGTATGCATATCAACTCGGATGGGAAACTCGCTCTGACGTCGTTCCATCAGAACTGACCGATCGCGCGACCAGTTTTCTACAATTAATTTCCCAGACACTGTCATTCTTTACGTAATGGTTCAATTCGAGGAGTGCACTTGTTCGGAAAAGCTGTCTTTCTTTTCACGAAATGAAACGGAAAATTGAATAAAACAACTAGCCTGAAAACCGACCTCAAACGCAACTTCTCTATTAATGAATACGGTTCGACCAATTTCGGAAGGTGAATTTTTCCGACGGGCCACTTTTTGTCCTCAGCGGAAAAATAAGAAACCGTATAAAAATAAAAAAGATTTTCGTTATTAGAAATACACTCGCGGTATATCGAACACAAAATTTTAAAACGAACCGCTCTCTTTTCACACGATAAGGATGAAACTTGACAGAAAAGCCTATTCCGAGTAAAAATCCGAGGACTGAGGAGAAAAATACCATTCGATAAAATGCAGAAGGATAAATCGCCTAAATTGCACCCATCAAGTGCTCAGAATAGTATTAAATCAGCCATTAGTACAATCATAGGTACGCTGAGTTGAAGCTTTCGTCATTCGTGAAATTTTTTCTGCGTACATTTGCCATTCTCGCGAACGAGGAGCATTTCTTGTAAAGGACAATCGATCGATACAGACAAATTTCGTTGAAATCCGAAACATTCGCTTGAAAAGCACACTATTTCGCTTTAGGCAAGTAAATTAAAAATCAACCATGAAGCATAGTCCGAAGTGCATGGCGGGAGAAGTTTATAACAGCGGCAAAAAAGGATGTCTCTGAACTTATAGTCATCTAAATCGCTGATTGATAAATAGCGAAGTTTCCATCTCCAAACTCTCCAAGAATTTAAACATGGATACTTTCACGTACGCTCCCTTTCCACTTTCTCTCTCATAATGATGCACAGCATGACTAAGAATGCTTTTTTCCAACGCGTGTGTTTTTTCATAAATGGCCTAATGATGAAAAAAGTAATTTGAAGATACGTGATGGTAGCATGAGTACGAAAACTTTATGCAACACTTCAAACACTTACTGCAACATATTCATGATTGAACGTAAGGCCGACGAACGCTTCATTTTCTTATTTTACGAATGTCGTTTTCTGGACAGAAAAACTCACGTTCTTGGGACAAGCTCGGAGCTCGACACACGGTGGGCCTTCTCTTGACTCTCGAGGATCCATTAAAAGACTTGGCCCTCACGACTCTCTTCTTGGCTGGCGAAGCAGCCGGCGAAGCAGGACTCGACGTCGAAGAGCAACTCGCCGGCAACTCCACGATCCCCGACATGATATCCGGCCATCTCTGTCGACTGTCGACACTGCCATTCCGAGGTTGTTGGGAAAGCACGTCGTTCTCGTCTTGCAATCGACGGTTTGCTTCCCGCAACCGAGCCACTTCGTCTTTCAACGAAGATAGTTCTTGAGACACTTTCGATGCGGCTTCGCGATCTTCTTCGGTACGTCGTTTCTCTTCTTGCTGGGCTTGTTCGAACAGCTTGAACTGGTTGAGAAGTTGAGACGTTTCCTCTGTCTTCTCATTCAGCGCTGTTCTTAGGTCATCTCCAGCGTCCTTCCACATAATCAATTCCTGAGTAGAAGAAAAACCTCAATCTCATCGTTTGTACCAGGAATAATTGACAATTTTCAAATGTTTCCCCAGGTATGCAAAGATAACAGACACAAAGGGTATTTTTCAAGGAAAATAAATCTTTTTAAAGAAAGCCTAAATTCGAAAAAAAGGCACTTCCTGGAATCTCGGGAGTGATATTCAACACGGCCGAAATTTCATCAGGTACGTATCGTTCAAAGTAATTGATTTGCGTCAAAATAAAGAAAACCCACTCGCCTCTTTCAGAGCGAGTATCTTTTCATCAAGTTTCAATTTTTCCATCTTCGTTTGTTCCAACAAAGAGGAAAGTTCTTCACTAGCCGTGGTTTCTTTTGCTGCCTCGTACCGCGATTCGTCCAATTCTTTTCTCAGATGCCGAAGTTTTTCGCCGTATTCTTCTTCCAGTTCCCTGGAAAGAACATTTTCAGGATTCCGTAATTTTTCTCCCCTCAAGCGACGATGACGAAATAAAGACTCACATCATTCGTTCTTTCTCCATTTTCTCCATCCTCGCGTTTTGATCGTCGATTTCTTGCGCAAGAGCAGCCGCACGTGCGTCCGCGGCTGATAAATCCAGACGAACCTTTTCGATTTGTCGAGTAGCTGCTTCCAGGTCGGCTCTGAGATACCGAAAGAATTCACAATCATACAAGCAGAAAGGAATAAAATGCAAAAAATTGACAAACTTGAGAACGCGAGAATAATCCTTCTGCGCTATCAGAACGGCAACCAACGGGAGAATGTCGTCGGGCACTTTCTTGGACGGGAACGAATTGGAGAATTCTTCGAGGACTATTGACACGGTTGAAAGGCTGATCATTTCGTTTTGGGAACCGATGCTCATGCTTCGGCCCTGGAAAAAACAAATTCAAAATGGGAATAGTAACCAAAGAGGTTAGAAATAAAGCAGAGACTAAATTGGATGTCATTGCGCGATTCCTTCCCGCAACTATTCAAAGACTTAATTTTATCTGCATATAACGCAGACGAAAATTTACAGCAAAGTTCGTCAGTCTTCCACATTTCCAGAAATGCCGACGCAATGCAACAACCCGCACCAATCGGATTGCTATTAACCTCAGTCTGTTTCAAACCAGGTACTGTATACTTCAGCATTCTGTCGTACTCTCAATTCTCAGGAATAACAAACCTTCCATGTCGCAAGTGATTTCAAATGAGGAGCTCTTCCAACAGCACCATTTTGATGTAGATTGTTCACAGGACGAGCATCAGACGGAGAGAATCCAAGAGTGCGAAGTAAACTATCAGCGTCTTCAATGCCCTTGTCTTCCCACCAGCGACTCAAAGCATCCCAAGTAACAAGTCTGAAATTAGGGGTGAAAACTCCTCCAAATGAAAAAAAAAAAAACGCTTCGGGAATCCGTCGAAATTTCACGAAGATCAATGCCACAGCAATAAATCGACGAAAGACGCAGGAACGTGCACTCACCCAGTCGAGAAAGGATCAAGTTCGCTAAAAATAGCATCCAATTTTCGGCAAGAAACTGAGCCAAGTGACCCATCACTCGACAGAGAAAAACCACTGTCGTTCATTAGGCGAGTCCGATTCATAAACGAAGTTTCGGGAGGAGAAGAAGGAAGAGCTTCGTCATTTCGCGGTTCATCTTTCGATTCGTGGAAAAGTTGCACGAGCTCTTGAAAACTCACGCGGCCATCTGCGTTCACGTTCAGTCCATCGAAAAGCTCCGAAATATCCTGAACAAATTAAACAAAAAGTGAGAACGCGAAGCGAAGGCGTATATTAATGAATGATACCTCTTCGGAGGCAAGTACTCCAACGTGTTGACATAATCGCAGCAGTTCAGGTTTGTTCAAATATCCGTTCTCACCGACACCAAGCGTCGACCAAATTTTTTCCAAGCATTCCATCCAATTGAGTGAAGTCCGACAAGTAGGACTATCGACGCTATCCCTTACTAGTTCATGACCTATTCTGCTGACGTCGACGACGTTAACTCAGACAAGGGTGGGGAAAATAACTCTTTTGCGTCACGTGGACCCGGAAAATCACATTACAACAATAAATCTGCAGCAAAATATAACCATCAGTTTGTGAATACATGCAGAGAAGGGTAATAAAACGTGTCTCACTGTCGAGAAACTCACGCGCACTAACAGCTCCAGTTCAACCACAATTTGAAACACGTTCACATGACACGATGCCTTTAAGTTTCCCACAATATTTCTCAATGCGGTCCAATTTGGGTTGAATTTCTCTCCCATACGCAAGGCACCATCGCGCAATCAAACGCATTTGGCGAATGGCAACGAACTTTAATCCAGCCGGGACATTCTTACCACACGGCACTTGCGTAACAACTGCAATTGCGACCTCACAGCAGCAGGTATTCCAGCTTTTAGGTACAGTACAGTACTGTATTTCATGACAATTTGTGTCATTCCAGTATAATGTACCGTAGCTCATGAATAAATATCCAGATGTCGCACGATCTCCATGCATCATTCCCACTCCCAGCTATCTTTGCCCATCTGGACCATCTCTACTGACCCACAATGCAGGTGCTGGACTCATAAGCACTGAATTACAGTGGAGCCCTACATGCATAAATAATTGATGCTTGAACCTTGTCCCTATGAGAGAATCACATGCATGTCAGATATCGTTTTCCTTTGGTCTTCAATGGGAACTTATGTGAATCCGCACGTTTCTCGAAAATTAGAAATGTCTATCCAACTAAAAATGAATAAAAATATTTCGCAACTTCCATGCAGAAAAATCTCATCCGATCTCTTGGCATGAAAAGGAGCTCAAGAAGCATAGAACAAATTATGATACACTGCAGATGATGGAAAAAAACTCAATAGAAAAGAACAAGCAAAATTGGCCTATTTTTGACGATGAATTTGAGTACAGTACATTTATACAGTAATAATACGTATTAATACTTTTTTGAAAATAAATATTGTAGTTCCATTTTTTGAAGAGATATATATAGATTCATAGTTATATCCAAATTTTGAACAAAAAATTTTTCCATTTGTCTAAAAATGTTGGAGAAGTGTCTGTATCTGAAGAAGAGATTGCCCAGATGTCAGGGGAGATTTTTCAATTTCAATAAGTGCCCCTCCGTCAAATTGTCCACATGTTGGGGCAACTGCTGCATCTGCATGTCAGGGTCCTGCTGTCCATCCAAGAAAAATATTGTTAGGATTTAGCTGCTGTATAAGGAAAAGCTTTTGAAAACAGTAAAAATAATGCCATAACCAGCAAGGAATATCAACAATATCGTTGTGTATCGATATAGGTATAGACTCTTATATACAACGCAAGTCATCATACCATCGTACATCAAAGATTTGGGACACTGAAAATCCATTGCAATTATATGCGTAAGCATCATATATGTACAGAGCATCATCTACACTACAGTTCACAAAACATTCCATGGCAATCTCATAAAAATATTCACAACAGAGTGAATGGAAGAAATGGACACAGAGCTTATATGATGATAACCCGGTTTTTCTCAGGACACAAAAAAACACATCACAAATAGGTCACCAGCAGAACTTGTGAAACCAAACATATAAGATATGTTCTCTGCCATCAGGCATGTATTCTATATACAAGTCACTCATTCAAAACAGTCCCTTTGCTGAATCGCGATTCTTCATCAATCATGCGCTGAAGTGGTTCAAATTCCGATGGAACCCCCAGAGCAGCAGGTCCATACACCACAGTTTTCTCATCAAATCAAGAAACTTCTCAGCAAAACATTTGTGCGCATATTAGCCATTCTACAGCCAGTCAGTATGATTTACTCTTAGGAAGGGATCTCAGTTACAGGTATATAAGATCAAATTTTTGATAAAAGTCTTTGGTAAGGGTTTCAGCACAGAGAGATATCGAGAAAAAAAAATATCTTGGGAAGGGTTGCACACTTGACCAGCTGAAGGATGGATAAGCTGGTTCCCGGGCTTTTGTATACACACTGTAAAACATTTGAGCGACTATATATATAGACGAATGCGACGGAATATACAACGCAAACACCAATCCACGCTATACAATACAATCCAACAAACGAAACGTTTCAGCATGAAATTGTGCTTTCTTTTCCTTCATCCCTATACTCATCTCAAAAATCGCTGTCACATTGTTGAATCAAAAGACCCGAAAAAGCATTTGGTCTGTTTTCGAGCAAAAGCCTGCTGCTAATTCATCATCTCCTGCATTCAAAGGTGGGTTACACGCATCATATGTTTTCTTTTCTTTTTTTTTTCCATCATCACAATCCTTCCAACATATCATCAGACAAGGGCAAGATTTCGTCGAGATAATAAACTTGAAGTCAGATTCATTCGTCGTCGATGCAAAAAAAGCTTGTCTATACGCAAACTGAACTCAGGTCGTTCCATCATGGGTCCCATCAGCAGCAGCAGCAATTGATCCTTCGTGTTCAGCATAGCCATAAATTTGCTGGAAAATATGCAAATCATCCAGCTGTCTTCGTTTTGAAACAGGCGAACGCGTACTGTCAGATTTCAAGCGTCTTTCTTCACCTCCCTAACAAGCAAGTGATTGTTGTTGACACCATTCACAGTGGTTCCTTTCACAAAATATAGAAAATACACAAGAAGAATGAAAACTGAGGAAAGGAGACGCGACACAAAACGAAAAAAAGACTATGAATATGGTCTAAAAAACGGTGCCTAATCTGATCATCTCTTACATGAAGAGTATAGAAAGCTGCTAGGGTGACTTGGCAAACATTTTCCTGCAAAATATGTAGACAAAAAAGGCCGAATTTTTTTTATTGCGCCAAAGAATTTTTTTATTTTTAAATACTGTACCTGTCAATCGCATGCCGTTTCAATTTCTTTCCCGAGAGCAATTGTTGAACCCCCCTCTATTACACATGACTGTTTGACTATAGGAAACCCGGCCGAAAACCAGATGAAATTCACACCTCCAACAGTTCCCGAAGAGGCGACAATCGGCGCTGGACTCGTTCCGTTCTGACCCACGAACTTCTCCAGCTTGGCCAGGATGTGCTTGCCATACGTGAACTTCTGCAGGACCGCCACGTGGGGCTTGATGAGGTCCACCATCACCTTCCTCTGGCCGGGCTCCACCAGGTCCAGCATCTTCTGCACCACGTAGTTGGCAAACTGGTCCTTCATCATCACGTGCAGGGCACACCCAGTAGCAGGAGTAGCACCCGTCGTCGGCGTCGCCACGGCGCAAACCTCGTCCACCAACTCGGCCCGCTCTTCCGGCGTGGCGTACTTGATGCACTTCTCGACGACGTTCGACGCGAATTTGTGCTGCGACAACGACAGGACTTTGCCTCTGACGAAGGACACGATGCGGCGCTTCTCCTCGGCGCCGCCGTGCACGAGCACGTGCTGGGCCACGTAGTTGCCATATTGGTCCAGCATGAGCTGCTCCAGGCTGCCGTGCAGCTCCGACAACAGGCACTCGGCTTGCGGCGGCTGGCAGTGCTCGAGAATGCGCTGGATCACGCGACAGCCGTAGGGATGCGTGCTCAGGGAACACACCTGCAGAATGAAGTTGAATTATTCCGTTGAAACGACTCGCGGCATAACGGCGGGTTTTCTGAGCAAACTTTCTGCCTCTCCGCGGGTGTCGCTAGCTCCAACTTTTGTTGGATGAACCTGGAGCCGTGCTGGTCTTGGGCAAACTCTTGCCCCCCCCCCCCCCCCCCCAGCAGTTTTTTTTTCATAATAGGGTCAATTTTATAAAAACTAAATTAAAACTAATCTTCCTTCCATGATCTCAGTATAACGAATTTTTGCCATGATTATGTTTCTTCTTATAACGAATTTTTGATTACGATGGATTTTTTTCTTGGTTTCAGCAGTTTCTTCACAAGGAAAATTAATGTCTTTACAATTTCATTATAACAAACTAATTTTCCTTAGTTGATCTCAGTAGGACTAATTTTTGACATGATCATTTGTCTATTTATTACGAATTTCTCGTTACAACGGATTTTTTTTATCTCGGCAGTTACCATTTCTTCATACAGGGACAATTTTAAAAAATTTCATTATATCAAACAATTTTCCTTTTATATAATCTCAGGACAACGAATTTTTGCAATGATTAAGTTCTAGTTGTAGGAAAATTTTATGTTACAACGGATTTTTTCCATAGTCCCCGCAGTTTCTTCATTTATATAGAGACAATGTGAGAAAAGTTCATTCTAACGAACTAATTCTCCTGCTATAATTACGGTACAGTATACGGGGTTTTTTCATGATTATGTGCACATGGCTCATATAGACATTTTTTATAATTGGCCAAATATGTGGAAACCCAACTTGAGCATAATTAAAATCAGTTTAAAAATATAAATGCTACTCTTTTGTACAAAATATTCAACACTGCAGGAATCACGAAACTATAATCAAAATGTATTATCCATTTTATAATTTCGAAATGACGATTTCAAAAAAGTACGGTATGTTTGAAAGAATACTGCTCTATTTCAGGAAAAATGCAGTTTCAACGAATGAATGCTACTTTTACACATGTACTTCCTGTTCATTTCAGCTTACACTTCAGTAAGATCAGTACATTTTGAGGAAATCTAAGACAGGGAAGGTTTGATATGAACAGTATTTTTACCTTTTTGAATTTTCTAGAATCTAAATGAATTTGTACACGGTTAAATACAAATTTACATACAGAGGTTTCGACTCGGGGAGGTTCAACCGTATTTACTTGGTGGTCATTCCTTTATTGTATTTGGAAATTGGATTTTTCCTGAGGAGTGGTCTCCAACTAGACAATAACTCGATCTCCAACTAGCTACCGGGTATTGGTAATTTCCCATCATTCAACTCCCAAATAACTTGCTACAGACGTATCTTCAAGCTAGACCTAACTTGGCGCAACGAAAGTCAAAATAATCACTGCCTTTCACTCTAGCGAGCAGAAATTTCATTGGAAAGACAAAAAAAAATTGAAAGGTTCGTCACACCTGGCCCGCAAAGGCGTCCACAATGAACTGGATAGATTCCGGGTCTCCGCTTTCCACACACTTCTGTATCACGTGGTTCCCATTCTGGTCCTTGATGCATTTCATCACATTGCCATGCAATTCCTCCATTACGCTCTCCTGCAGATTCCTGGGCGTCGTTTCCAGTGCTTTCTGGACCACTCGGCAACCGTACATGTGCAGGGACAGCTGCATCACCTTTCCCTTCATCTGCATCAGAGTAAAATGAAGTTGAACTCTTTCCACCAAAATACAGTGAGACCCCCACATGTGGACACCTCAACATGAGGACAATTCGACATAGGGACACTCATTTTCCCATAAAAAATTGATGAAAAAAGGCACAACATGAGGACAATGACTCAACATAGGGACATTTTGTGATAAAATTTCCAATGAGTTTCAGGCCAAATTACAAGAAACAGATATTTCCTACCCTAAAATTGATGTAAGAAATGTTCTTGGGCATTTCTCTCACCAATTTACCATCCAATTCCCTAATTGAAAAAAAATTACCTCCAGCATAGAGGGACTTCTTCTTTTTTTTCACTTGAATGTTATTTTTGTAGATGCCAAAATTTCAATGTACTGTACAGAGATACGCTATTCAATGCTCCAAGTATTCTTATTGAGTTGAAAATATATTCACTAATTCAAATTCAAGCAGCAAACAATTTTTTTCAGGGAATTCTGAAGAATATTTCTTCTTCCATAAAACACCAATTAAAAATTATATAATGTAAGTCTATGGGAAAATAAGACTTGACTTAGGGACAATTCACCTTAGGGACACTCTTGATGTACCAATCATGTCTGCATCTTGGGGTCTCACTGTATATATACATAAACTATGGATATACTGTATGTATGAAGGTTGGTTAGTAAAAGATGATAATCTGCCACTTGCCATCATTGGAGGCAGATACAATTTTTTATTTTGCTCTTTAATCCTTCCTTGGTGTCTAATAAATTTCTTTCTCAATTGCTCAGCTACAGAAAGAAACAAGAAAAGGACCTGGATCACAGTGAATCCCCTCAATTGAAGTGAAGTTTAATTGATCAAGAGCAGCTGAATGCTCACTTGCATGCTCTGTGACTTCAGGGGTTACTCACCATATTTAGCTAATTTAAAAAAATATTACCTCCAGCATAGAGGGACTTATTCCTTCCCTCTTTTTCACTTGAATGTTATTTTTACAGAGAATGCCAACATTTCTATATGTACTGTACAGAGGTATCAGTATTAAATTCCCCAAACAAGCGTCCGTATTATGTTTAAATATATTGATGGAATCACTTTAAATTGGGGAGACAACTTTTATTTTCATGAAATTATGGTGAGTATTTCGTCCATAAAGCACCAATTAAAAATTATATAATGTAAGTCTATGGGAAAATGAGACTTGACTTGGGGACACTCTTGATGCACCAATTACGTCCGCATCTTCGGGTCTCACCATACAACAAGACAAAAAATAAGGAATACAAAATGCAGTGAATAATGAACCTTTTCCAGCAAAGAGGACTGGAGGTCCAAGGCGCCGAATTCGAAGAGCTTCTGAATGACGTAGTTGCCAAAGACGTCGGTCATGAGACTGAAGGCCTGGGGCAGGATTTCAGAGCAAACTTTCTGCCTCTCCGCGGGTGTCGCTAGCTCCAACTTTTGTTGGATGAACCTGGAGCCGTGCTGGTCTTGGGCAAACTCCCCGACGTGGTTCTCGATGTCTTGCAGGGCCAAATAGCTCAGCCTGTTGTTCCTGTATACACACAACAGATACAGCAACATATAGGGAGTGAAAAATAAGGAAGTTGCCTTCATTCTTCTCAGAGTAGCAAAATACAATACAGTACGGTACTGTATCCCCCCCCCCCCAAAGTTCGCATCAACAGTTTTTTTCTAAATAATTCATCACATAAAAAAAAACACTGATTCAGGTTTACCTGTTTTCAACGACGGGATCTTATCTAAAAGTAAGCTAGAATATAATCCGCGTGTACAGCACAGAAAAATAATTGAAATGTACACATTAAACGGAAGTTGCACTCTTCTTCACTCCGCGGTTCAGCACATTTTCTTCCTTACAACACGAAACAATTTTACGACCTCCACGACGGAAAAAACTGGCATTCCAATACAAAATGGGCATGGGAATCTGCAAACAGAAATTCAATGGGCCCTATACAAAAGCCAAAAGAAAAACCCGGTAAAGCATTTGAGAGATTGTTTGGGGTTACTATTTGATGTTAGGTTATTACTTCAGGTTGCCTCTTTTCCAGTTTTCTTACATCAAGGGGTGCCCAACATACGACCCGTGGAGGCTCTTCGTCTGGCCCGGCGCAGAGCCAGCATGGAAAATTGCTGCCCAAAGGGTGAACTATTCTTACAGCAAAGTACAGCAGAAAAGAAACCGGTGTTATAAAAAAATGTATACGTAAATTCAAATTATTTTAAAGCTATATTGGGAAATTTCTTGAGAAAAAAATTAATTGTAACCAACAATTGAATGTCATGAGACTTGCTGTAACAAGGCATTGTGGGAAGTTAACCTCATGAGAATTAAAAATGTTTACGTAAATTCAAATTATTTTAAAGCTATATTGAGAAGTTTCTTGATCAAAGAATTAATTTTAACCAACAATTGAATGTCATGAGAATTGCTGTGAAAAAAACTTGTGGGAAGTTGACCTCATGAAAATTAGATAGGCAATAAGTGTATTTTAAGGGCTTCATGGAATACCCCATTTTAAATTCGAAAGATTCAGTAACTTGAAATTATTAGTTTTTTTTCCTTCATTGTGCTGGCTCACATGATGCTAATTTATTTTCCGGAAATTAATTCTAGATGTCCCAGAAGAGCCAAAGATTTTTTCGAACAAAATTGCGAATCGCAAGAAAGGGATTATCGGTTGAAATATTTATTTGAGGAACGGGAGTACTGTATAATCAATCTGAATGCGCATCTCCTTTTTTTTCTTCGTGATAAATCGTACAGATGTCACCTGAATGACGCATACAACGATGTGTCACTTCACAGTTCACAGTACAACTTAGGAGTTAACCGAAGAATAGAAATCAGCCTAACGGTTGACGATTGCAACAATAATTGCAGAAAAGGCCGATTCACCCCAAAGATTCAGGTGACGGCACTTTCGATACAATCAGAGAAATTTATTAAACTGCGGGCCGGAAATATTTACACAGACCAGCAGCAAGTGTTGTTCTCGCCGAGTTTAACAATCGCACACTCGTGTCTTTAAGAAATAAAATAAAATAAACTACCGCCTCATTTGAATACGATGAAAGATCTATAAAAACAATAGTACAGCAAGCTAGTGTTCTCTATGAAATCTCGATTTTTTTCATGCGGTGTATATAAGCACCTGAAATCTTCCAGCAACCCGCTCCTTCCGGACGCAGGCTTGAGTAAGTCCATGTTCCTGAGGACAGCAGAAGCAGCAGCTGCAGCTGCTGCAGCAGGTCCGTTATTGGCAGGCAGAAACCCAGCAGCAAACCCGGGCAACTGATGCACGCCGAGGGTCGAGGCAGACAACAGGACGTCCGGGTTCCAGCCCAGTTCCGGAGGAGGAGGAGGATACCCCGCGGGACCCAGGTTCATCGGCAGGGGCCATTTGCCCAGGGCTTGAGCTGGGAACACGGACCTGGCACCCAGTGCCGAAAGTGGGTGCGAAAATTGTAGGGCATGCTGGGGCGACGAGTCGTCGCCGTCGGGGCTTTTGCCCAGTGCCAAAAGCTCGGCCTTGCTGCCGAAATCTAAAAAAATAAAATTCAATAAAATGAGGTCACGGTTACCCGGAAAATAATTTTACCTCCTGAACCAAGAATTTATACGTACATTGGCATCCCAATAAAATCTTTTATATGACGATGAGCTGAAGTCAAATCTCTTCAAGTCGAATTTCACGGGGCCAGCAAAAAAAAAAACCTCGAGTTATGGAGGTTTTGAATCGATGAAACAAGTCTTTTTGTGTGTGGGAAAGATAGAAGAATTGAAGAAATTTGTAAATGATGATATTCTAGGCCTTAAATTGTTTCTCAAATGAATTGACCGGATGCTGTACCAGGAGGCAAGGGTTCATTTGCCCAATTAGTCTTTCACTCACTTAAAATCAAAAACCAACTCACTTTTTTATTGATTTTTTCCCATGTCAATAAAATAATAGCCAAAAAACCTCCGGAAAATTCGAGTTACGGAGGTTTCAGAGGAAAATCCTTGGAGAGAGAGAGGTATTAAATAAATTGCTTCCAAGGGAATTTAGACGGGGACTCAGAAAAGTTATTCGACTTAGGGAGGTTTCAGTCATCGAGGTTCAACTGTAACAGCAAAAATCAATGCTTGAAATATGAAACGAATGAAAACTTTAATTTCATAAACAGGCAGCGCCTAAAAGAAAAAAAACATTTTATGGGTGGACGTAGTCCAAAACACATTTTCAGATACATTTCTATGGTGTCTTATTGATGTAATTTAAATACACTATTGTCAAGAAAATACAGCACTGTACATAAAACTAAAGGAGCACTGTATCCCTGAACCCATTGTATTTCTTGACAATGCTTCTTCAAAATCTCCAGATTAACAATATTTGACTTCAAAATCTCCAGATTAACAATATTTGACTTCAAACTCGAATGTTTTTTGTCTTTCAAACCTTACTTTTTGCAATGACTGCATATGAATGTCACAGTGAGTCAGCACACATCATCAACAAGTTATCCAAGGGTTACAATCCTTAAACCCGTAAACAAAACATGCATTGTCTGTTTAGAATTGCTGCAAATGAGATTCCCATTCTGTAAATATTAAAATAAAGCAACATTATTTTGAAAGAAAAGTCCGTCACTTCCCATGTAACTTGGGCTACAAGAAATTGAACTTTATCTTGAACATACATAGAAAGTTATCCAGAAAAGCAAAGCTTCAGAATAAAAACTACGCCAAACAAATTGATTACAGTACTTTCAAAAAAAAGTTTTAAGGAGCAAGCTTGCTAAACATCATCCGAAAAAAAACACAATGAAGCCAAATTGAAATTGAAACCTTAAAATGCGAGTGACATCTGTATGCAACACCAGGAAAACTCACCGAATCACAGACATTTGGGCCAAGGCGAATCACAACAACAATAGCAACAAGAACACGACTTTCGGGCCAAGATTTCATTCGTGATTTTTGTCATTAGTCTCATTACACACTGGAATTTTTGATTAACTCAAAATTCCTCAAGTTGAACTTTTCAAGTCCCTGTCTGGATTCTCTTCGAAAATAATGGATAAAAAAACCCTTCCCAACTCAAAAGTCTTTCACCTTCAAACCTCCACAAGTCAAATTTTCTGGACGCCTTTCTGCTTTTTTTTTTGACACAGGAAACATTAAAAAATGTAAATTGACGTCTTCTGAAAGGATATGAAAGACTAAAATTGGGGAAATAAACCCTTGCCTCCAAGTTCAGCATCTTGTCAAAATAATTCATTCAAAATGCCATTTAATGCTTAAAATACCAACAATCACCATTTTCTTTCAATTATTTATCCTCTCCCTCAACACAAATGCTTTTCAAACCCCCAGTAACTCAATTGTTTTGGGTGGTCCTTTGAAGTTTGACATGAAGAGGCTTGACTGTATAATTTTCATTTGAGATCAGAGTGACGGATACATAAACAAGGGTTGGTTTGTAAAAGATGATAAACTGCCACTTGCCACCATTGGAGGTGGGTACAATTTTTGTTTATTTTGCTCTTCAATTCTTCATTGGTGTCTAATAAATGTTTCTTTGATTGTTCAGCTACAGAAGGAAACAAGAAAAAAAACCAGGATCACAGTGAATGCCCTCCACTGAAGTGAAGTTTACCATGTAACCCCTGAAGTCACAGAGCATGCAAGTGAGCATTCAGCTGCTCTTGATCAATTAAACTTCACTTCAATTGAGGGGATTCACTGTGATCCAGGTCCTTTTCTTGTTTCTTTCTGTAGCTGAGTAATTGAGAAAGAAATTTATTAGACACCAAGGAAGGATTAAAGAGCAAAATAAAAAATTGTATCTGCCTCCAATGATGGCAGGTGGCAGATTATCATCTTTTACTAACCAACCTTCATACACACAGTATATCCATAGTTTATGTATATATACAGTGAGACCCCAAGATGCAGACATGATTGGTACATCAAGAGTGTCCCTAAGGTGAATTGTCCCTAAGTCAAGTCTTATTTTCCCATAGACTTACATTATATAATTTTTAATTGGTGTTTTATGGAAGATCTATGCTGGAGGTAATTTTTTTTCAATTAGGGAATTGGATGGTAAATTGGTGAGAGAAATGCCCAAGAACATTTCTTACATCAATTTTAGGGTAGGAAATATCTGTTTCTTGTAATTTGGCCTGAAATGTATTTGCAATTATATCACAAAATGTCCCTCTGTTGAGCCAGTGTCCTCATGTCAGGCCTTTTTTATCAATTTTTTCTGGGGAAATAAGTGTCCCTATATCAAATTGTCGCAGGTTGAGGTGTCCGCAGGTTGAGGTGTCCGCATGTGGGGGTCTCACTGTATATATGTATATATTGACAGAAAGAGAGAGAGAGAGAGCTACTGTGAAATCCTATATTTTCCATAAGTACAGTATTTTCCTCAGTTGCTCATTCTACCTCATTTTTCCAGCACTTTACTGTAATAAGTAGCACTACAGAAAACTTTTGAATTTTCCTCACCAATAGTGGGGACTGAATGTGCAGGTGGAAAAAAGCCTGGAGGCAGACCTTTCATGCTCTGCAGCAACATCCCTGCCAGTGCTCCATGCGCGCTGCCATGAAAGTCCCCGTTCTGATCAAAGTACCTCGGGAACCTGATGTAGAAAAAAAAGGAAAAACAACCAATGAGTCAAATGAAAAAGAGTGAAATGAACTCAAAAAAGTACGAAAATGGAGCATCCATAAAAATGATCCTCACATCCTCGTCTTTCTCTCTTTGCTATCTCACTTCAAGGTGGATTCCGCCATTTTTCATCGGTCGCAAAATTTAGGCACCTTTAAAAAAAATCGCTCTTCCTTCGTGAACTGGTAAAATTTGTACATTTCACTCTTTCATTTGACCGACTCAATAAACTGTCAATTCATATTTCACGAGTCACGGAGAAAAGTGAGGAATATTTACTAGTGTCCAAGACGAAACAATTCTGCCAAGTTGGACATGAAATGCAATGAAGTAAGGCACTCGAAAGCACATCAACCAGGGTTTCTAATCAAGGAGTACCGTAAGCTTCGGGATTCCCGTTAGAACATCAATTTCTGCTAACCCTCCTCGCAAATCCCAATAAATCAGAGACGGACACAAATGTTCTGCATTTTAGTTCCTAATATACTACTGTCAAATTCTGGCTTGAAATTAAAATCTGGCGTAATCAGATCAGCTTATCAATAGTGTATTAAATCGATTACCAGGCGCACTTTCCCCCCCCTAAAATTCAGAGGGGAATAAATGAGGTTATGCGTCCTGGGTGGGTGTACAATTTTCAAAAAAGTTTTAGAATTCTAGAGGCGCATTCCACTTGATTTTACTTGGGTATTTTGGAAAAATTCCAACAGAAAAACGTTTAAATGGGAAGAATTGAAGATTAATTCAATGCCAGTTAGATTCATGCCTTAATTCAAAACCTGGTGTGTCTTATTTTTGTAATATTGACAATCTATCCTCAAGAAGATATGGATAATTTGAGACTATGAAGTAAGGCACTCGAAAGCACATCAACCAGGGTTTCTAATCAAGGAGTACCGTAAGCTTCGGGATTCCCGTTAGAACATCAATTTCTGCTAACCCTCCTCGCAAATCCCAATAAATCAGAGACGTACACAAATGTTCTGCATTTTAGTTCCTAATATACTATTGTCAAATTCTGGCTTGAAATTAAAATCTGGCGTAATCAGATCAGCTTATCAATAGTGTATTAAATCGATTACCAGGCGCACTTTCCCCCCTAAAATTCAGAGGGGAATAAATGAGGTTATGCGTCCTGGGTGGGTGTACAATTTTCAAAAAAGTTTTAGAATTCTAGGGGCGCATTACACTTGATTTTACTTGGGTATTTTGGAAAAATTCCAACAGAAAAATGTTTAAATGGGAAGAATTGAAGATTAATTCAATGCCAGTTAGATTCATGCCTTAATTCAAAACCTGGTGTGTCTTATTTTTGTAATATTGACAATCTATCCTCAAGAAGATATGGATAATTTGAGACAGGTCCAATTTTAGGCAGGGACACTTTTAGGAAGGGACAATTACAGACAGGGCCCATTTGAGACAGGTTCAATTTTAGGCAGGGCCCATTTGAAACAGGGTCAATTAGGTGTTCCCAGCCCCTTTTTGGACCCATGGAACAGCACATCTTCATGAAATTTTCTGCAGACCAGCAGAAAAATTTGAAAATACCCCCCTAAAGTCCTCCAAACAAAACTTTTTCTTTAAAAAATCAAGTTGATAATCATTGACGCAGCAGTAGTGAAGTTTCTTCAAAATATTAGAAAGTTGGGTGCAAGAGTTTGAGTATCTTGCCTCACGGAAAATGCATTAATCCTCAGAGGACAAAAATTTAGGGACAAACGCTGTTAGGAATTGTACACTAGACAAACCATTAAAATTTGGAAGTCTTTTGTAAATACAATGCAAAATACCAGCAGAAACTCTACCAATAAAATTCTATTGAGGATGCACAAATCTGTGCAGTTCCGGCGGAAATTTGATGTAATTTGCCCATCATCTGGGTGCCAAACTTTGGAGCCCCTCATTCTGTTTCAAACAAAAATTTCCCTGGCCATAAAAACGGATTCTCCTGAGTCTCTGCTCAGCTTTGGCAGCATGGAATTGGACCTGAAAAAAAAAAATGGCGGGTGGGAGCCTGTTGAGACTCCCACAACACTGTAGGCATTGACTTTCCATAAAAATGTTAAATTAGCTTGCAGAATTGGGAGGCGGAAGTTTGATGTCTTGACTGACAAAATTTGGTGGGCAGAAGTAACTGTGGACATTATCCTGGGTTCCTGTATTTAAATAAATGCTGCTCTGACCCAAAAACTCACTTCTGCTCAAAACTCTGCGGGCTGCAGATGCTGTTGTGTTGTTGCATATTTTCAAATGCAATTTTGTGCAAATGCACCTAAGGAATGTGAAGTGTGGAAATTGTTAAGAGTGGCCTTAATACTCAGCTCTAGGAAATCATGTACATACTCCTAACAGTTATTCCTCTAAAATAATTTTGCAGTGAAGTAAAATTTAAGAGGCCACAATATTGTTATAATTTGTGTGATGTATGATTTCAACTGTGTATTTTGTATTTTATTTTCCATTTTGTTTTATTTAGGTAGAAACGGTATTGATTGTGTTGGTTTCCTATACATGCATTGTATGCTTGTGAGTAGAAGAAATTAGTGCCAGGCTTGTGGCAATAAAATATTGCACAGTATTTACCTGGTCTATTATCATTTTACTGAAACTGAAAATTACCGCCTGCTAACTTGAACTTCAAATTGGGACAGGCTTTACAACCCCAAAAGTCCCACCAATTGGTATGAAAGAAATTCCAAGGCCAGTGGCCAAACAACAGTCCACAGCTAAAAACAAAATATTTTGAAAGCTACCACCCCAACAGGTTGATGTATCTTTGCATCTCTACATCCCGTCAAGTAGATTGCGTAGAACGCTTTCAGTTGGGCTTAAAAAAAAGAATTCCCAGAAGGCAAACTGGAAATAATTTATTTCAGCAGGCAAAAATTATTCTTGAGTGTTATTATGTCAACTTTATTTTACTCAGATAATTTCAACTACCATCATCTTTTCAAACTATCAGATAACAATAACAGACTTCATTACAACTTCTGATGCATTTCTCATGTTGAAAATCTCCCATGGACTGTCCAAAATACTTCTGCGGACTGGCGCCAGTCCACAGACCACAGGATGGGGCACACTGATCTATAGGCTGGGACAATTTGAAATAGGGCCAATTAGAAATAGCAAAAATTAAAACATTCACCTTTCTTCTTCTTCTTTTTCAAAACCTACATAGCATATAGTTGTGAAGTGTTGAGGTGGAAGATGGACTGTTCCCAAAGCAACTCTGCTAATGCACACACACTTTATATCCCTCAACCTGATATTATTGCTGAATCTTGGGGAATTTTCTATTATTTGTCTCAAGTGGGGAATTGAAAATAGCATAACTTTTGAGAAAAACAGTGCCATTTTTGTTCCTTTTCCCACCTTCAATATAATACAAGAGAGAGAAATCCAGGAAAGTCATTTTTTTTAAAATGCTCCTGTCTCAAATTGACCCTGTACCAAATTGTCCCAAGACCCATCATTCAGTCCTACTTCAGTCTTTTCTGAGCCAGTCAAGAAACTCCTCTTGGCCAAGAGTTGAGGTTTTCCTTCAATTGCTCACCACTCCAAAAATTCAGCCTCTTAGCATTTCCCAAGATTTTTCAATTGGCTGAGCTAATAATAATCCTCTTTTCCATATTTTTATTTGTCAGGTCTGGTCAGAACAACAACAACAAGAAAACGATTGCTCAGAGACAACGACTCACCCATTGAGATCAGCGGCGACCCCTGGTCTCATGACGGATGGTGGTGGCGGCGGCGGTGGCGGCGCTAGACCATGATGGAATGGTACCCCTTCCGACGTGGCCATAGGCACCACGCCGCCACCTCCTGGATACACCATGCCGAGTGGCCCAAAGGCGGCAGAAACAAACTGGTGCTGGTCCGACGCAAGGACCTGCTGCTGCTGCTGATGATGATGATGATGTATTTGTTGTTGTTGTTGGTCGTAGGGTCTCGGAGGAACCGCTCCCGGCGGCACGGTTTGTTGCTGGGCCAGCAGTAGGGCCTGGTACTGCTGGGCCAGCACTTGATGCAGGCCAGCTTGCTGCTGTTGGTGGTGATGTTGCTGTTGTTGATGTGGCCCGAGGGCCGCAGGACTCGTGCCTCCACTTCCCCCCTGGTGCAGCTGGGGACAAAGACAAACAACGTGAGTCAGGGACCACATCAACATTCTTCTCGAGCAGACGAAAAACAGCTGTCCTAATTTCCCCCTTCCTTCCTTCCTTTAAAAATACGATCCCGGAAACACATCCGGGTTTTGTTTTTTCCTCCAAGAACCAAGAAAAAAAGAGCCCCATCGACCACACACAAACAACAGCAACAATGAAAAGGAAAAGAATTGTAAACGAATGAATTAACCCATTCTCTGCCGCTGTGGGCCACACTTGGGACTCGGGTGCTTTTCGCCTCCCACCAAAAATACGAGCTGCACAAAACTATTTTTTTTAAATGCGTATGTTCAGCAAAAATTTTGTACATATATTCAAGCAGACACATGATTTGACAATATTCTTTTATTTTTCATTGTAAAGTACACATGCGCATGATTTCTAAACCCAACTCCCAAATTTTGTTGGGAAATTGGAAAAATGATTTTCTGGACTGCACAAAAAGTACTTTCTGCTGCAGCTAAATTCAACACTTCAGCATTTCCCTGAATTCCGGTAGTTTTGGATGCATTAGCATATTTTGTTTTATTCATCTATTTTTTGATAGATGAAGACAGATGCAATTACTTTGCCACATTTAGCAATCAAGTTGGAATTTTAAATATTTGACAAAATATTGACTTTGAAATTTAAAAAAATCCCGTTACCTCTTTAGACGCAAGTGACGTGAAATCAAGCAAAAATGTGTGTGTAAGAAATTTTCCAACGAATGGATGAAACAATCCCAATTGTTGCAAATTTAAATTAATTGTAGTTTGATTTTGACACTGTGCTTGCTTTAATGGAAAGTTGATGTTGAGCTTTAAACAAAGCCAACGTTTGAAGACAAATTTAGGCAAGTACTCCACTAACAGTTTTATTTCACGGCAATCCCTAAGATGGCAGGGAACCTTCAGATTTCACAGCTAAAAATGGTCTGATGCTCATCACAAAAATATTCACCCTTTGTATACTGTACTGGGACACCAAAAATCATCAGGAAAATAAAACCAGATTTCAAGAAAACCAGTCACAAAACCAGGTCCCCCCTGCCTCCAGGTTGGCATCCAGGGGTGAGCAAACCATGTGCTAAAATAATGACTCCTTTTCCTTTCCTTTCCTGTCTAAAATAAAAGGGAAAACACGCAGCAAACCAAGGTTTGAACACTCTAATATAATTTGAGAATCTTCTAGCCCTTTCTGGGCTTCCAGCGTGTAGTTTTCTGCGTCTCAAATAAACTGGATCAGCTCACTGGTAAAACAATTTGAGATTGTCTTGGTGATAAAATTTGTTTCCCAGAAATTGCCAAAGGAATCGCTCTCATAATTTCCGCCACAATGAATTTTTTTCTCCCAAAATTTGAGGTTTTTTTTTGTGCAAGGGGGTCAGCAACTTCAAAAGTTCTTGGGACTGTAAAGATGATTGCCAAAACAGAACTTTCCAAATACAATGCCATCTAGGTCTGAAAAGTTATGGTGTCAGGGTGCCGTGATGAATGTACAGTACTTCCCATCATTAATTTCTCCAGTTCGTAAATTACAATGACAATTGATTTATGTTGGAGTGGATATAATTGACATTCCAAAAATAATATTATAATTCAATTTAATAAACAGCCTTCGTAATGTCAACAAAACCAAAGACTAAAGGACGATTTTTGTTGAACCTTCATCCGTTAGTTATTTATTATTCACTTGGCTTCCCGTAGACTGGGTGCGTTTTGATTGAACAATGCTGTTGGGATAAACACACAGCACCTGGTGAAAATCTGAATTGAAAATCAATCAAGTGCAAATACGTATCCCAGGTGACCAAACCAGAGAAACTGGAGAAGTCTTCAAGAGCAATTCCGAACAATGACTAAACAATGTATCTTCAAAATCATCTTTCTTCGTTCAAATCGGACTCAAAATGAATGACTAGGTGTGAAGAACCTCGACAGCACCGGGGAAAATATTTTACTGTACTGTACTCGGGGCAACGTACGTCGATAATTGTCCCGGTGGCTACGACACCACTGTGCTGTATATAGAACAATGAGAACCTGATGCGAGATAAAAATTAAGAAAAAAAAAAGCTGTTTGCCGGGGGGCAATCTAATTAAAATCGCCGGACGTCTTTCGACAAAACTGTCGACCAATAATAAAAATGACACGAATTAAAACAAATCAAAATAAATAAATAAAATTACGAATAGAAATCCAGCGTGAGACTCGCGCGTGATAAGAAAAACAAATCCGATTGTTCTTCCAGAAGAACAGCAGGAGCAGCGCATGATTTCCCACAGGTAACGCATCGCGATTTCTTTCCTATTCGTTCATTTTATTTTCTGTCCTCGTCCTCTTCTTCCCCCTTTTCTCCCAAGTTTGGCAACCGATGTGACACGGGGTTTACTCGGGATTCATCACGCGCGGAACCCCGTCTTGTTTACCCCGGAAATTCTGTAACCCGGGATGGGAGAGGGAAACATATGGGACGGGAAGTGCTGTCGGTGCCATAACATTTTTACACCCCGACTGTTTCTGACACGACGCCATTGCCAAGGGTTCCTTCCACACTGCTGGTTTGTTTTGTTTCTTCTTTTTAATGGGTTCCCTCTATATCTGCTACTATATGTTCGCATTAACCACGTGGTACGGTATTGTATTGTTACATTACATTACATACTTGAATGCAACTAGCATGACAAACCCATTTTCGTTGCGGTCCAGCAGGGGTGACTATATGAAGAGGCTTCAAACACTTACAACTTGGGTTTTTTAGTACTGTACTGCATCTGTGAGAAACCTCAAGGATTAAATACAGAGAGACTCCAAGATGCGGATGTAATTAGGGTATCCAGAGTGTCCCTAAGTTGAAATGTTCCTAAGTTGAGTCTCATTTTCCCTTACTTTGTACATTATATAATTTTTAATTTGTGTTTTACTGACTAAATACTCACCATCATTCCATGAAAATAAGAATTGTCTCCCAATTGAAACTGATTCAATCAATATATTTTGACACAATATGGACATTTGGGGAATTGAATACGGATACCTCTGTACATTATATAGAAATCTTGGCATTCTCTGTAAAAATAATATTCAACTGAAAAAGAGAGAAGGAAGTCCCTCAATGCAAGAGGTAATTTTTTTTCAATTAGCCGAATGGATGGTAAACTGGTGAGAGAAATGCCCAAGAACTTTTCTTACATCAATTTTAGGGTAGGAAATATCTGTTTCTTGTAATTTGGCCTGAAACTTTTTTGCAATTTTATCACAAAATATCCCTATGTTGAGTCATTGTCCTCATGTTGGGCCTTTTTTGTTAATTTTTTATGGGACAATAAGTGTCCCTTATTACACATGGGGGTCTCACTGTACATTAGGGGCTCAGAAATTGCTTAGGAAATTGATTCTAGGACCTTGCTCTATGTCGGATCATTTGTCACAAATTTAGTCAGTCTTTTGGTAGAAGAAGCTAATTTATCAAGCTCAGCTTGTCTCCCAAAACTTGAGCTCTCAAAGAGAACCATAGCATTAAATTTGTTCTACTGTTCATTGAGGATAAGTTTTGGTCTCCAGCAAAACTTGTCCATGGAAGCTCTGGTGCAAATTGGGTTTCATCCTGACTCACACAAGAAAGAGGTACTATAAATGAACAATGGTCATAAAATTTATATCTTTGGAAACTGGAAATGGAGACTGAATCTCTAAGACCATCTCAACTGGAAAAAAGGTGGTACCTCGCAATTTGACCTCCCTTAATTTGACTGTCCGGCAATTCAATGGGAAAATTTGAAGGGAGGTTGACTTGCACTTTGACCCTTGCCCCGCACTTCTACCTGCTTTTGGCACATTTTTGCATTCTTTTTAGTGATATTTTTGAATTTCACAAAGTCTTGCAATTTGACTGATTTTCAATTTGTCCCTAGTTTGGCAACTGATTAGGGTCGGATTGCAAGGTACAGCCTGTGTTCCATATCCTTGAATAATAGGTTTCCTGTAACCCTTTCCTCCTAATTTTAAAACACTTCTGTTTTGAACCTGGTACTGACAAGAGCTTGCAAACAATCAAACTGTGTGAAATCACTGAAATCCTAGAAATCTTCAACTTGTTCATTCTGAGAAAATAGGACCAACTTCGTAATATGATGTTAAGTCACCCCAGTTATAGCCCAACCAAATCAACATATTTTATTTCAAAATTTTGATTCTACCTTTCTTATTCGTGACATCATCCACAGGATTGACCACGTTTTCCAATAGAATTTAATAGGAACATATTCAATTGGCTCTCCTATTCGTCAAAAATTCGGAAAGAGTTTCGCAAAAAAATTGAATGCAAAATTTTCCTCAATTTCGAGACATGGAAAAATAACTGTGCCAAAAAAGTCACACAAAATCTGCCATTTTGGAAAGCGAAGGAGCCGAAAAAAGCAGAGAACAAGCACAATTCATAATACTGTATACTGTACGCATATGATTAAAAAAAACTCTAAAAACAGATGCAAAAATAGCCGAATATCAATTACAGTACATTTATTATAAGATTCATTTTGAATTTCTGGTGCAAACAATAAAATTTCGTCAGAACGAAGTCATTGGGAGCAGTAAAATAGCTTTGATATAAAAAACAAACCTCAAATAACGATGCACTCTTCAGACAGAGACCTAAAAATCAAAATTCTTGTAAAAGTTAACTGTATTCATTGCAACAATATTCTACAGTAAACATGGCTAAATTCATTCAAGAGACATCACAATTTAAAAAAAATTGAAAGTCTTCCATTTTTCCAGAAATGCCGTAAAATTGTTCTCTTTAAAACATTAATCGGATGTCACGGCAGATTTTCTTGGTTTGAAGTTTCCCTCAGTCAAATCGTCCCAATTCAAACATATAATTAAGAAGTATTGAAACTATAAAAGTGCGAGAAAACTAATAATATGGGAACTCGGTTCTTCATCAATAAAAAATAAGAAAAATGTATTGCGACTTTTTAATCTCGGGCGTCTAGTTTAGAATTTGAAAATTACGATCATCGAATTTTATTTCTGTACGAATCAGGGCAGAAAAACGTACATACAGTACTCAAAAAAATAAGAAAAAATCATTTACAATATTTTTACAACAATCTGTCGAAAAATGTCATTACACAGGGCAACGACAGACGCAATGCGAGAACTGACGAAAGCCAAATGGTCAAAACACGTTCCAGTGGAAGGAAAACTAGGTTAAAGTCGCTTCCACCTTTTAATTCTTCTCCTCATTATACTCAACCTCAATATATAAATAAAAAAGGACAAGCAATCTCATCGTATCAACAACAAAACGGGCCTATTGCAACAATTTGAAGAATCAATGACCCAGAGAATAAAATAAAAAGCCATTCGTTTACCGTTTCTCGACCCGTTTGCCTTCCTTCAAATTCACGATGGTTTTTTTTTCCTTTCATGACAACATAATCAAGTGTAAAAATCGTAATCAAAACAATAACATCCTTTATTCAATCAGTCAGTTGCCTTTCCTGACGACAGCTCACAGGAAGAACAAAAAAGACCTTCCATCGGCCTCGTTTCTGGTATCGCAAGCAGCAGCGGGAAAACTCGGCACAAAACCGAGAGATAATAAACAATGATTTTCTATGATAAGAAATATCATAATAGAGAGAGGAAAAAAACTCACACCAAAAAAAAAAAAAAAAAATAGTTCTCACCAGAGTGCTGTGAGAAAACCCTGGTTTCCAGAGTCTCACGGAATCGGGTCAAGCAATCGTCACAGGCAGAACAAAAGGTGCTTCTCGCGGTCTTTTTCACGCGTGGCAACACTCGACCATTCGTGCAAAAGAGGCAACTTGGAAATCAGTACAGTGAATGCTTTCTTTTCTCGGAATATGTGGGCGAAAAAAATAAAAATCCTTTACCCGTCGAAATTCGCTCAAGAATTTTGCCACGCGAGGCAGTCCTTTCAATCCACGCCCGGCTTCTTTTTTTTTTAATTCATCGCCGATTTCTCAGAATAAATTATCCCCTGGAGGGACGAATTTCACCCATTTTTCAAAATTTTCCTGAAAAATCAACAGTTTTTCGCAAGAGTCAGAAGGCAGTGAAAATTGCGATATACAAAACAGTACTCAAACAATATGCCAAAAACATAAAACCAAGTACTGCAATTCTAATACAGTAGGTTGATATGAAATTGGCAGTATGATTGGTTTACTCTCAACTGCCATTTTGAAATTGTGTCCATAGTGGCATAAAAAATATATATAGTTTGGTTTGTGCCTGCCAGTTGTTATTGAACAATGAGAGTGTCACAACTGTTGTTTGAAACTGGCACATGCTTGGCTGGAACATCAATTTTTGATTGATACTGTCCAGATCATTCTGATATTATGACATTCAAATGACACTCAAATGTATTTGCTGACATGCCTTTTCATGTTCACAGTCTGTTATGCATAAAAGCTCTAGAATAGAGCCTTTCTGTGTTGTCTGTTGAGCTTGGGTTGAAGTTGTGATTTCATAATACAGTACAGTCAACCCCAAATTTAGTGCCATCATTTATCCTGGCACATTTTGTGGCACTAAATTGAAGATTGTCATCACATAATTATATGAGTCCTGCAACATGCTAAGAATACCCCATTTGCAATGTGACTTTCACTTGTTTCTCAACTTTGCCCAGTAACAACCAGAGTCTTTAGACCAAGTTGCTTATGTTGTCTGGTCACCAGTCATCACCTGCTGACTGTCCTGGTTTACTTTTACTCCTATTCTATGTGCAGTCACTCACCTGTCCCATGCATCCAGTGAATCTATGAAGGAGTGTCCAAACACTTATACATTGCTCATTGCTGGTCTGGTATTTGTTTGCATCTGTTGATAATTGGGATTGAATTAAAGTCACGCCTTCACCTTTGTACAAGGGAAGTAGATTCATTTTGCATCACCCTGGCCATAAGACTAATTCTTCTTGGCATCAGGTTACCCTAAAATGAGGAAACACTGAATTGATTCAAGAGGCTAGAAGCGAAGGAGATGTTTGACACATTATTTGTTCATTTCAGCTCTTTTGGCAGTTTAGTGTAACAAGGTATTGTATAAGAAAGTTAACTTTAAAGTTTGTATTATAAGTGAAATAAACTGGCTTTAAAAATTAGTCAGGCCACTGAGACTGTTTCATCAGGGAGGAAGCTACAAGAAATAATTCAGAGCTCAAATTTACTGTAATAATATTGTATTTCAACATATTGGATAAAACATAATATGTAGTACAGTATTTAGATTTCCCCATATATTGTGTAAAAGAGCACATCTGTTTCTTTAAGTTTTGTTTGAGTTTGACATTTTATCAAGGTTTTTATCATGGGGGAATTTCTAATCTTTCTAGGAATGCTTCCACTTTCAAAGTTTTTAACACAGAAAGGTGTCATTCAACAAGAAAAATATTTTCACTTACTTAAATTCATAAATAGAATGTTCAAAATTATTGTGAGTTTTTATGTGAGCATGGACATGTGATTCTCATTGATAACCTTATGATATCTCTGAAAAAATGCCTCAACTTCACAAATTTTGGCCCACTTTTTCATCCACAACATGACATTTTTTGTTGTTGCACTAAATCAGGGGTTTCCCTTTGGAAACCACTGCATGGAGATTTGTTCCAGAACATTTTGTGAAAGGGTGGCAATATATACTAAGGGTTGACTGTGAATTGTTGTAAACCACAGATTATGAATACTGTACAGGATATTCTTTGTTGAAAGCATCTGAGATAGTTGTGGAAGGCACATATGATAAAGAGTGACTCTCTGATGCCTTGGATCCACATCAGGGAGGAATTACCTCATGTTGATTTTGGCAAGACATGCTGGAATCAGCGCCCAGGAAACGGGACATGAATAGCCGAGTCTCCCACAACACAATAATTTATAAATATAAATACTAAAGAGGTTTTAGTTCAACATATTTTCTAGAATTTATTCTGTAATATTTTATAAATTTCGTAGCTCAACTATTTCAGAAAAGCCAATATTTTGAAAAGCAGTCCATTATTTTGTGCATCAACTGCACTCACTTCTAATTTCATACATAAATTAAGTCATAATTAATAGCATGACAACTCGGAATAACTTACGACGACATGCATAATTCCTGCTACTGCATGTCGAACAAATTTTATTTTTTGCAGTGATTTAGGTTTTCGATTATTGCACGAACAGTTCTTCCACCAAGCGTTGAAAATATTCCAACCACTTCCCACTCAAGGTTTCAATAATTCTAGTGGAATACCGTTGGGGAATCACGCATTTCCTCAATTGGCAACCATGAAATTTTCAGAAAATTTGAGATTTTTCAAAAGGCTTTAAATTTTATTCTGTCAGCCCTCGCGCTGCATCTAAGATAATTTACAGAAGGTTGAAATCCTCAAAAGAGAGTACGGTAATAAAACGCATGAAAAAATATTAACAGATTCATATCAATCATAAAAAAGTCGCGCACTGAGCTGAGAAATTGTATAATTTTAGCTTTTAAACTGTTATTTTAGAAAATTATTATATTTTTATTGACCAATCCGCCTTGTAATTTATTTGATGGTTTTTATACCCCCCAAAAATTCAAGGATGAAATCTCTAACTTTCAGAAATTGATTCGATGTTCGTTCTCATTTAACCTGGTAAAATAAATACGGTACATAAATTGCGAGTCACAATAGTATTGCACGTCAATCTTCATGAAAAGTTGCATTATTCACTGGGCCATTCAAAAGTGTCGCAAGAACGAAAAATAATTGTCATGAAGGATACAAATATCAAGACAATCTTTTAAATTCGAGTTGCGACGCTGAACTTCCGAGCAGGTAACATTTTTTTTCTTTTCCACTTTTCGTCAACATGTAGGCATTGAGACGATGATTAACATCGAAATTACCAACCATGAAACCAAGGTTGACAAGCGAAAAAGGAAAAAATAAACACAGTACAGTACACTAAACTTTCCTCAAAAAACAAAACAAAAAAGACACGGCTGAAAAACTCGCGCAAGACTGTATTGTTTGGTAGACGAAATACATGTTCGTTGCCCCACAAGGCAGAGGAAATTCTGATTTCATCGTTTTTGGCTTAAAAAAAAAAGCGTCCAAAACATCGCTGGATTTAAAAGTTTCGCAATTTAAAAACGCGCACGCACTTCAGAAAATCTATTCTGGAACCCTGAAAAAAAAAAGTTACAACACAGTGGGTCCGAAAATAAAGAAATTACTGTATGATCAGATTCCTTGATGCATTTGTTACATGGAATTTTGGTTATACAAACCATGATTAAGGTTACAATGTAAATTCAATAATTTGTCCCAGAAACTCACCAAAAACCCAAAATAAGCCTCAATTCTGTAACTGCATCTTGAATGAATGAACAGAAAGCTTTATTTTCTGCTTTTCAGCATTTTCAAAGTTCAATCAACATTCCCACATCCAAACCCCATCCCCACCCCATCCAAATCCATTCACATGCATTCAATCACTTCAGAATGGGAAACAGAGAAAAAAGCTGTGTATGGATACCAAAATAAAAGAAAGTACATTCCACAATGTACAACGGCACAACTGATGTGTATGCATACATCCCCTTCTTTCCTTGACATTGAAAACAATACATCAGTGACAAGAATTGCTGCATAAGCCAGAATTGAAGCAATTGAAGCAGTTACTGAACCCAATTTAAAGCACAAGGTCTTCAGCCTGTTCCCAGATAAGGTTTAGTTGAATGAACAATTCAGAGAGAATCTTTAATGAGAAATAATATAAGGCCAACAGTTTATCTTGAACCTCTATGATTTCAGAAAGGGTCTCTTCATTGAATTCCAATACTGTACTTGTAAATCTTTCAAATAACTGCATGTTATTTTTGGTTTCAAGCATACATTTGTGAATTTAAAATCAAGCAGTACTAAATTTAGGTGATACCAAAAAGTTCATGCCATTATCTTTCTGCATTTCACAAATTTTACAATGAAGAAGAGGCAAAACTATGCTATTCAATATACAGTGAGACCCCCAAACGCAGACGCCTTGACCTGTGGACAATTTCATATAGGGACACTTGTTTTCCCATAAAAAATCAATAAATAAGGCCCAACATGAGGACACTGACTCAACATAGGGAAATTATGTGATAAAATTGCAAATACATTTCAGGCCAAATTACAAGAAACAGATATTTCCAACCCTAAAATTGATGTAAGAAATGAAAATGTATTCACTAATTCAAATTCAGGGACTTCTGAGGAATATTTCTTCCACATAACACCAATTGAAAATTATATAATGTAAGTCTATGGGAAAACAAGACTCAACTTAGGGACATTCAGACTTGGGGACACTCTTGATGCACCAATTACGTGCGCATCTCGGGGTCTCTGTATTTCCTCGATTTTTGTGGAAACAAATTAAGAGTTTCTTGCCCAAAATGTTCAAAAATTCATGCTTTCCAGCTAAAAATTTCATTACGTGAGTCACGCTTTTAATTTTTGCAACGAGGATTTTTCGCTGTGTGAGAGTCTTTCGTTATGCGGGGAAACGGATGCACTTGACTGCGTTTCAACGAATCTGAAAGAAGTTTCATGCAAAATTTGGCTCGACATTTCGCATTTCAGAGACGAAAGCTTCGCAGCTTCTCGTTGAAGAATCAACCACAGAACATATGAGGAAAAAATGAAAGCACAACCTGTCCGTCTTCTGATGCGTACAATTATTATGCTCCACATAAAAAAATCCCTGAATTTTTCTTTTTCTGTGACTTTCACTCCAGTGAAATGAATTCTCGGCGAATAATTTTGATTTATGCTTCACTTCAGTGACTCGGCCAAGGTTTCGCTTTACGGTGAGGACGTAAATTTCAGAGGACCTTGAAAACTGTGAAAAACTTCAGGTTGGGTTCGTGTCATATTTTCCTCAAGAGGGTAAAGCCGTTTCCTGAGAAAAATAAATTTAATGGGCTTTTCTAGAAGGTGGAAATTAAATTCAAAGACAATTTTCATCAGCAAAAAAATTTTTTTCAGCAATAAAAAAAATGTAGAAGAGGTCACTTTCAGATAATAATAATAATTGGGAGCTCTTCCCCGAATTCCAGCATATGTACCGTAATTCCAATTTAGTAAGAAAAACGCAAAAAATAAATAGGTTTGAATTTTTTTTTCAAATTTATTTCTTTTCCTCTGCTTCGATGAGAAAAATGGATATAAGCTATTTTGTATTCATCGACGTTTCGAGTATTTGAAAAAAGCGTGGAATTGAAATTCCTTATTTAAATTGATGATCTTCAAAAAATTCAATCATGTAATTCGAAGAAGCAACTGCTGCACAGTTGGATCTCTCTGAATTGGAAATTTTCTTCAGTCAAATTTCCCTGCAGACCAAATTTATTTTTCAACCCCTGTATTTAAAATTCTTTTTGCGTAAAACACAAATGTTACCGTCATTGAGTAATTAATCTTGACCTAACATATGGAAAACCTCTTCCAAATTTTAATACAAATGCACATCATTATTTCAACGCTTTTTTTTTAAGGTACAGTATACGGAAACTTTCTGTAGGTAGGAAATTTATGAATGATTAAAATTTCGAAAGTTGGTCAGAAAAAAATGTTTCTTGAAAAAGCTTCACAAATAATGCGGAATTCACCAACCCCAAAAAAAACGAGTATCTTTGAATCAGACTTGAAAAAGCTTCAAAACAGCGCATAAATACCGTACATATACCGTGTTCACGCCATTTCAAGTGGATTTTCGGTAAGAAGGAAATCGTGGCCTGAGGCTTATTTCCGGAGTAGAACTCGGACACGACATCATTTTTTTTTAAACGCATGAAAATTGCGCAAAAGACACAAACGCAGTATTTTGATTTCTTTGTTTCTTTCAAGGGCTATTATTTATTCTCGGAAAAACACGGACTACGACTATATACCCTCGCACGATACTCGCGGTTTTTCATTTCCTTCTTCTTTGCTTTCTTTTTTTTCCGTCCGCTTTTTTTCTTTCTTCTACAGTTTCGGAACCCAGCTTTCTTTTTCTTTTTTTTTTTTTTCTTCCGCAAGTCGAGTCCCTGCTTTTCCCACGTTCCTGCCTTTCACGCACCCACCGAATGCCCCGCGGGCACGCGAAGGGTATTTCGACACGTCGCTGGCCTCGGTGACGTCACCACGTGGCCCAACGGGACACATGCAGAGAAGACTTCGTTTTAAAAAATCAAAATCACGAACCATCGTGTGGGTTTTTAATAAGTCGTTTAGAGAGGGGATGAAAAGGGATTCGAGGAATTCTCAAGAGAAGAACACAAACTGGATCGAAGAATTACTTTTTCCGGAATGAACACATGGCTTTCTTTTCTGCGGTTAAAATTAATATCCATTTTTTGTTCCCCCGAATGGGAATCGACTTTGACTACTATCTATACGTATAGACTGATGGTATTTTGACGATTCGGTCCACAGCTTTCCTTCCTTCGGGAAAACAAAAGGAAGTATTTTCTCAACACCAATGTACACTGTTTTTATTTTTTCATACACAGTACAGTGAGTCCTCACGTAACAATAACTTCTAAAAAATGAAATTTTTAAACGAAAAAAGGACTCTTCCGGACAGGAAACGCTTGAATTTCAATAAGTTCTAGACTAAAACTTGGTAATTTACAATAATCGATAACAAAAATGACAAAAGAACTGCATAATTTTATTGTTACTTGTCGAAACAATTAGTGGAAATCGGAAAGTTCAGACCATGAACTTTCCCATATCACTGAAATTCAATTCTACTCAATAATAATTAAATTTAAAAAAACAAAAGTTTATGCTGGAAACTAGGAAAAATATACAGCTTTTAGTGGCTATTAATGTCTTGTCGTGAGTGTCTGGAATGAATCAAGTACAATATTGCAGTTGACGATTTCACCTTGAGGGAAATCGCTCTTCGCATAACGGAAAGTCGGCATAAATAAACGCATCCAAGAACGGATTAGTTTCTTTATGTGAAGATCCACTATAAATCTATCCACAAAAAGCTTTTTTTTTTTCTTCCTGCAATCGAAACGCACAACGTGGAATTCCGACCTGATTCATCATGCAAAGCACCTTTCTTCGAGTAAATTAACAATGATTCCACTTCCCCGAGCAGAGAAAAATCAGAAGCCAGATCCGTGAAATAAGGAGTACGTCCAAGCAGTAATACTTTTTTTTTAAATAAAAAAAAAGCAATTTTGTCTTTATTTCTGGCGACATTTCAACAAAGAACTGAGCAGGTACCGCATTTTTATTGTATTTGACAGGACAATGTTGGCAGGGAAACAAAAGATTAAATGAAATCCTTGAGGCGAAAAAATGAAATCAAGTTGCTTCAGCGCTATTCGTTTTTTTTTTCTCTGCTGAAATTACCTCACCGGAAAATGCGCAGAATCGTCGGACAAAAGGTGACACAAATCATAAACCAAATACAATTCTAAAAATGAACAAAAAACAATCCCTTGCGATTACTGTATAATAAATCAATTCTCAAGAGCTGTAAATACGGCAACATACAACGAAGCCATTGAAACCAGTTAAATAGCTTTGTCATAACGAAGAATAGGCGATATACCAACAGTAGATTGTACAGGAACCTAAAAAACGAATTCGTTGTAATCGAATATTTATTATACCAAGATTCTGCAATGTAAAAAAATGTGAACTTCAAAAAATAAAATAATCAAGATCAACGGTCAGTGAAACATTCATTACCGAAGGATAAAGAGATTTACAAACATTTTTCTGTTAGGCAATCATTCATGGAAAAAAGTGGGTGGGGGGGGGGAGGTTTAAATAATTACGGTTGTTTGACACAAGCATGACATTTTATTGCGGATTATTGCGGTATTCTATGCGTGGAAAGATATACAGTTAACATTAAAGAGTAGCTGGTGATGATGAATGGAGATTGCTGCTCTGCTCAAAGCAGCAATCTGTCAAACACACTGAGACGATAACGTGGCACTGTGTCATTAACAAATGAAGAGACGTTATTTATTCACAAGCAATTATTTTTTGACAGGGCCTGATCAAGTTGATGGTGGCCAAAACGCCTTCATTTTTGGGCCGGAAATAAATTGACATCAACTGTAAAAAGAATCAATCAACTATGATCCAAACTGCAAGGCACAAAATAGCAAGATGAAAACAGCACTGCATTTTGCGCAAGCGTTACACTTTTTAACAATAATAATTAATATTCCTGCGTATACTTTTAGCTCCGTTTCGATTCAGATTTTCTTCGAAAGAATATATTTTCCAGCTCTTTGTTCCGGTATTTTGAAGGACAAATTTTTAAAAATATATTAGAGTGATTATTATCGATTAATGAGAATGATTTTATTATTCACAATTTCATGTCAAGACTTTCCCAAAAAAATGTAACGAATTTTATACTTTACCGATCATGCAAAAGTATTTACCAGAAGCCAGTTCCTACAAGTGAGGATGATTTTCAAAGCAAATTCATTTCATTTCTTGGAATACGGAAGACATCTTCAGCTTTTTCATTTTCCGATGTTTCAACGTACTGTATCTGGGATTATCTCGACGTGAAAATTCGTCGGACAGAAAATAATTGAATCAAAATTCCTGAAAATCCGTCTGATCTGATGGCTTTTCTTGCGACTTTTCCCGGCTTGGTGAAACATACAAATTGTTAAATCGTCGGAAGAGAAGCGATTGAGAATGATAAATCAACTCATCCTCGAACGGTTATTCAAGTTACCGTACTGCATTAAAAATAAGAGAGAACTCGTTTTAAAAGAGAACACTCTCGGAGAAGCATTCCTTTCTGCAAAAAAATAAAATTAATAACGCAGTAAATTATCGTTACAACGAATTCGTTCTACAGGTCCCCAACGAATAGCCATGTCACTTTATACCGAATTTATCGTTATAACGAAGCAAACCTCGTCCCAACAGCTTCGTCGTGATGATATTCAACTGTGATTGGAACAAATGATACAAACGTGAATATAAAAGTCCGCCAGTCATTTCAATGAAGATTGATTATTTTCTTAATATTCTATCAAAAAATATAGATCCAACCGTAGAAACATTATTCCTTCCCGGAATTTTCTGGAACTTCGACCATGTTAAAATTTCATTAAAATTTAGAACAGAAGGTTCTAAAGAAGAGAAAGAATCGTTTTTTTTCACATAAATGGACAAATTTGAATACAAATTTCGTGAATGATTTAAGAAAAGCATGTTGGTTTTATTAATGTTCTCTGAAACACGATGAAATTTAAATGCGGAAACATTATTCCTCTTCGGAATTCGCTCCAAATCAGAATATTATACTCCCAAAAACTCACTGGGATTTCGAAAATAAAGTTTCAAAGAATGTCAACTTGTTTTTCACACAAATGGCAGATGCTGCGCAGAAATTCGAGTACTAATCCCTGTTTGTCAAAGAACCTGTCAGAAAATCAAGGCTTAACCACAGTCGACTAAATCGGTTCATTTGGTCCCAGAAATCCTGATTTACTCCTCAGAGACGAAATTCTTGAGGCCTTAGAATTGAAAACCGACTGAACAATTCACATTCACTGTTCGATGGAAACACTTTCAAGAAAAGAATGATTCCCGAAGTTTAAAAAAGACATGCCTTGATTCAATGAACACAACCCCGGAAATGAAAGCGACAGAAAAATGAAACCGACTTCACTCACGGATCAACCTATTTACATTTTCTTTCAAGTGAAATCATTTCGAATTGATCGACTCATCGTCCAGAAAAATAAACTTCAAAATTTGCAAGATGTCAGGAATACGACAGATACATCATTTTTTTTTTTTTTTTACCCAGTCAAATCAGGATTTTGGCACAATATAGTAGATTAATGCACGATTATTCGAACAAATGCGTCTGGCCAATCATCTGTCAAATTATTTGTTTTCAAACCAAAGAAAGCATAAAATATTTCCTAGAAATTTTTCTCGAAATCATAACTCGATCGGTTTACGAAAAATCTTGAAATCAGATGATGTTCAACTTATTTTTTTTTTAGCTCGGGTGCAAAAAAAGCTTCTACTGTACTAGAATTTGTATCCCAATTTCTTTATCAAAAATCCTTTCGGGGAAATTTTCCACAAATTCAAAACCACACTGAAAATTGCAACTAGTTTTTTCAAGAACCCGGAAGCTTTCTCGAAGTTGATACCGAAAGTAACTCAAAAATAACTCGGGCCAGTCAGTGGAATAATCGTCTCGAACCAGTGGCAATTTTCTCTCAGCTATGTTGGATTATTAAAACGCGTTTGGTGGTCATACGAAGGCCGTTAAACATTTATCCGACGACTTACTTATATAGAAATATCTCGAAAATAACTTTCCTTTTGCTTAGGAAAGACGGAATCTCCTAAAAACCGTTCGATCGAAGGAGGGACTTAAGTTTTATAGAGTAACTTCGCTCGTCCACCATTTTCTCATTCTATTTCCGGGGATTCAACAAAGAACAACTTTTCTTTTCTATCAGCCGTAATGTCAAAGTATTGTACCGGCAAAAAAAAAATAGAGTTCGACATGTTCGGATTGAGAGAAACAAGGATTTCCGTCAAAAGAAAGAGAGAATTGCGCAAAATTTTAATTGGTGATATTCTAGGCCTCAAATTGCGTCTTAGTGTTAACAGAATGCTAAACTTGGAGGCAAGAGTTCATTTGCCCAATTAGTCCTTCAATTAATTTCAAAAACACATCGTTATATTTCCATCGCGTTTATCTTTCTTGCGTCAATAAAATGATTGCCAAAAGAGACCCAGAAAATTCGAGCCATGGGAGGGTTCGAGGAAGCCTTCGAGTTAGGTAGGTTTTCAATGATTTCTTTCCAAGGGAATTCAGACAGGGACTTGAAATAAATTCGACACAGGGAAGTCCGAGTTATCGAGGTTACATTGCAACGAACAACGTCTTCACACTCACCGCTTGCAGTTTCATGTAGGAGCAGTCGTACACCTTGTTTGAGTGCAATGAGAATTTCTTGTCCCGGACCTTCATGTCTTGAGCATCAAGTTGCCAATAACTGGCGCGAAATACGGGGTAACCGAAAAAGACTTCTTTGGTCCACGGATTTCACCGGTAACGAAACGTTGAAGCAAAATTCCACACCACAAAAAAAAATGATAATGAAGAAAGAGTTAGATAGACACGAGGCTTCCGAAGAACAACCCCTGAGGAAGAAATGAAAGAAGGCACCGAGTTATTCAGGTCATGAATTCCGAAAGAAACGTCTCCCGAACTGGAATTCGGGTCGCGGACACTTCGGCACGCGTGGATCCCAAAAAGAACACACACTGCTTTTTCCCGTAACCGAGAATGTGTCGAATTTAGATATCTTTCAACCCTTTTTCGACGAATGGGAGATCGAGATGACAGATTACGGAGTCATCCGTCCGCTCGGCACCATTCATGCATGATCTAATCACTGATAATCTTAACCTACGGTATCCATGACGTCTGCACTCCGAGAAAGCTCAGGAGCAACTGGCGCGAGGCGTGAGCAGTTGTCCACTGCCGGACCATGCGAAGCAGTCGGTGACAGGCCAATGCGCGGGTGACGATTCCCGGAGTCAATCATTTACTCAATTTTATCTACTTCTACATGAAGTCACAGGTCAATTTCCAATGCAAATAATTACTCATTATAAAGTCATGTTTCTCACAGGTTCAAGAGAAACATCGTGCACATAATACTACATGCAGATGGCATCTCTCTACAAAAAAATTCAAGGGACCAAAACTTTTCATTTTAGAGAGCGCTATACCACGTGAAGAGAACAGTATGGGACCAAGAATAAAATCGTAATGTACAAAGAAAATCATTGTAGACAAGATAGCTTTTGAGAGATTCCACCTGCATAAATCTTGGTACAGGAGGCTGATCCCAGCATATAAAAAATCAAACAAGATCACAAAATTTCCAAACCACAAACAGTGATTTTTATAAAATTGGTTTCCTGCAAACCGAATCTGTCTCTGAACTAGCATCAAGCAAGGTCATCTTTACATTCTCAAGGGATATTGTGCATTTTAAATAGCATATATTGTTATATAATAACCCAACTAGAAATTTACTGGCTTCATTATGCAGTGACCCATAGCATATGAACTTGTGAAGTTCCAATAAATTTAATTTCGAGATATTTTTATTCTTCCCCTGAAAATTGCCATAGTCTATCAACACTTATCTTTTAAAGTGAGAAATTACAATAAAACTCTAATAGGCTCAAGAAGTCAGCAAGTTGAACAAATTCATTAACTATACTGCACACAATTATTGCTTTCAATCCGAATTCCTTGAGCTGCTAAGAAATGTTGAGCCCCCTGTTGCATGTTAGCAGTATACACACTCGTCAGCAAATGGTCGACCAAGGAAAGACCCGTCATTCTGCGGGCGCCAAGACGTCGTTGGCACCACCACCACCACCCACCCCCTCTCTCCTTTGGTACACGGGATGTCCGGATGTGCGCCCGCGCGGATTCGAGAGGGTGGCAAATGTGGGGAGGATGGTTTCACTTGCTTGAGCACGCAAGACCTCGGACTTACAGTGCGAAGCAGCCCGCGGCACAAGAACAATTTTTTCTTCCTGCGCCCCTCTTCCTCTCTCCCTCCCTCCCTCCCTCTTTGCCTCTGTGTTGTCCTCCTTTTTTCCACCTTAACCAAGCGAAGAAGTTTTTTTTATTCCCCCCCCCCCATCCAATTGGTTCCTCTCCTTGTTTCGGCCACGCAAGTAACTTTTCCTCCTGACACCCTTCATTTGGGTCATTCACTGCCTCTTGCTGTGGGCGCTACTGGGCTGACAGAAAGTTGTATGAGCCAGATATGTACAAATATAGACAACCGGAGGTTCATCCCAAATGAAGGGATTATGTACTGTACACTTGTGCATTACAGTGTGCTCAGGGAACCACGTTGAGGGGGGGTGTGACAAGTATGAAATATAGCTTTGTCGTCAAAAAAATTGCACCGATTTTGAATACAATATTTGTCCACGATTTTCACTGAAAATTACTGCAATGTACTGAATATGCTTAAATGAAGGTACCCAGCATTTACAATGAAAAAGTATTTTTTGACATTCAATTGAAAATAGATTCTTTTAAAGGCCAGCCGTTTTTTAAAACAGGTACAGTTCTTATAAAAAAGTAATTGAATTTTGCCTCCAACTGAGTCTTAATTCATCTATTTTTTTCTTCTTCAATTTGGCTTGAGAAATTGTTTCCAGGTCATCACCTCGCATGACAGCATTTTTCCAGTAAGCTGGATATGCGCCACGGCATATTTAATGAACAAAAAGAACCCCATCCTCACTTAAAATAACTTCAAAGTTTTACACCGAACAACCTAAAGTACCTAAATTATTATAAAACCCTTGTGATTCCCCTCACCAGTCTGGGAGGTTCTCTAATTTTAAAATGTTGATTGGGAGTTTTTGGACTATGGCACTACATTATTTTTTGGAAAATTGCAACTGAAATGAGATTACTATATCACAAGGAAGAGGCACATGTAATTTTAGCAAGAATGATGATTAGTAAATAAATTCCTGGTTACAAAAAAATAATTCTCCAGCTCCAAAAAAGCTTGAAGTGTCAGATTCAGGAGAGAGAAATCCGCTCCAGCTTAACATATTTTCCTATACAACCCTCCATGGTTATATTCGAATACTGTACTGTACAGTTAAATCTCCCTAAGTAAAACATCTTCTTACCCCTAATTTCCATTTAAAGCCCCGTTTAATCCACTCAAGAACAATTTGCTCAAAACCACACTTAATTTAAAACTGTTTTGGGTCAAACATTCCTCAGTCAAAATTTTAAAGCTTTAAAAAATTAAACTGGGGCTACATTGTAGAACAAGTGATCCAAAACATCTGCAATTTATTATTTCAATATTTTCCAACAGGGATTTGGAAATGTCCAGCAGGCACGACAAGTAACTAAGCATTTTAAGCTCTCCTGATAAATGTCAGAATTGTTTTCAATTGATTAACCTACCCAAATCCGACCATAATCCCAAAACAAAAAACCCCACTCATCAGCTATAAAAGATAGCAATGAGTTTGCTAGATTAAAAATATCATTGAAAATATGGTTCCATATACAGTGGCCCCCCGCCTAACAGACCTCCTGTGTAAGGGATTTTTGCCAAACAGACCAGCTCTGCAAGCAGTTTTTCCTCNACAGACCAGCTCTGCAAGCAGTTTTTCCTCCTGCCCAACAGACAAAATCTGCCAAACAGACTTCTTTTCGTTTAAAATTAGTGTTGAAAATTGAAATTTTTAATTTTTTAAGTAATTGAATTTGTGTAAAGGACTTTTTGTCTAACAGACTTGTCCCTTGCATGAATCAAGTCCGTTAGATGGAGGTTGACTGTACACTGAAATAACTACAAAAAATAAGTCAGTTGAATTTGGATAAGCTGAACCCCCATCAGTTGAATACTTCCCTCAGTGAGCTAAGTCACTTTTTTTTAATCCTGGTCTGAATTTCTGAGAAAAAAATCCATTAAAAGCCTTTCTAACTTCAAAGTTTTCCCTGCTCTTAAAACCTGCTTGACTCAAATTTTCTGAGGCCTTTTGGCTGGTATGTTCTTGACACAGGAAAAAGAATGGCATTAAAAAAATAACAATGTGTTTTTAAAGGAAGTGAAAGACTAATTGGGCGAATGAACTCTTGCCTCCAGCAAGTGCAGCATCCTGTTAACTCACTTATTAAGCAATTCAAGACCCAAAATATCACCATTTTCCATTTCCTGCAATGCTCCCATGTTGCCCACAACAGAAATGCTCATTTTCCCAACTCAAATCCTACCTCTCTGAGTTGATCTTTTTCTAGTCCCTTGAAATTTGACTTTGAAAGTTTTGACTACACTGAAGGAAATGTAATCACTGATTCAGTACTGCAGTGTACATATACTGTATTGCATAACCGGGAACCTTCTGGGAATATTTCAGTTGACGCCGTTGGCCATGATTGTCGGTGGGAAAAATTCAATCCAAGATCCACATTCCAGACATACAAGAATGCGGACACTTCTCATGCTGCGTATGTTTCTTTTGAACCTTGACAACCAGTTCATGCTTCCAATGAGAAATTACTTCAAACTGCGCTTGACAAGAATATATTTCTCAAAAGCATTGCTTCAAGATGAAAAAAAAACTTCGGCTGTCATCAACCTGAATGTTCCTCCTTTCCCCGCCACAGTTGACCCAAATCTTTCTGCATAAATCTTTCAGTATAACATGAAAAAATGTAATGGTTTTCAAAACTTGGAAAAATTGAATAGACAGCATTCTGTTCAGTTTTGCTTGACCAGTTTGAAGCTACACGTCAATAAAAATGCAAGAAATGCAGTTGTTGGCAGGACATCCATTACATATGGGACAAACCCAAGTGGAACAGTTGAGGGACTTGGTCCATTCTAAGTGAAAGTTTATTTACCATAAAAATTCTTCAACTGAGTAATACTGTATAAAGTAAGGCAGATGGAAAATACATTCCAGTCCTTAAAAAACATTGCTGAATTATTAAAAAAAATGCACTTGACCCTCAAAGTTCCACCTTTTAAAATTTCAAAAGGTAGATCAGCAGAAAGTTAACATGCTTGCTTTTGATCACTTTTACTTTTTTATAACAAAGAAGTCAACTTCTTTCAAATTTCCAATGAATCTCCCATGATTATGGCAAGCTTGTAAAGTGGATATTTGCTGGGACTTCTCAGTCACAGGATTGAATACAAAGGGAAGACATTTAGAAAACATTTTTGCAAGGTACTTTGAGAAAAGGATGCAATTTTAATTCAGTGCCATCCTCATTTTGTGTCACAAATCTCACATCTGAAATGCTGATACAGTACCATATATTTATACCATATCCTAAATCTAATGAAATTCTTGCTCAGCGCCAAACATTGGTCATGGAAAGTAGCACTAACAATTTTTGTGGCTCTTTTCAAACTTCTACTTATTGAGTATTATTTAAGATAAAGGGAAGAATACAAGCTCCAGAAATACAAATAAAAACAGCTGTCATCTACTAGAAAAAATGAAGCTGAAAGCCACATTTGCCACTGTATAATAACTTATATTTTTCCATGAAAGCAATTTCGTTGTAGTTTGTTATCCAAAGCAGTAAAAGCAAAAAAATGTTGGCGCCTTTACATCATATTTT